TGGATGTTCCATTGCTGCTAGAGAAGCCATATTTGGTTATTTTTCCTTTGTATTCTAGCAAAGGGTCTACAGGGTATTCAGGGTCTCACTACTAGATTGGACTCATAGGGATCCATCTGTTTACAGCCTCGCAAGAGCTGGGATTATAGGTGCGCACAACCACGCCCAGTCTCAATTGCTGGCTCAGCATGTCCTCAGAGTTGGAATCCCCAGCCCCTGGGCCTGCTTGCAGGCTCTTTAATCTGCTGAGCTATTTGGCTGGCGTTGGAGAAGTTAATGCGAGTTCAAGGATCGTATAAAACATTCTTGATGATGTAATTTAATTTATTCTTGGGAATCTGATGGATTTCTTTTTTGCACCTACAGTACATTTCCCCTTGGACTAGCCACACTTCCGGTGCTCAAAATATGCAAGTGACTGTAGTGTCTTCCAGACTGAGTAACAGGGCGGTGGTGATGCCTAAGGATTTACTTGCAGTGGCAGATGTAGAGTAGGGCACAGTGTGGGAATGAGGCCAGGAGAAGGAGGAAGGAACACAGAAGGAGGGCACTTGAGAGCCCCAGTTCGGTTCACAGAGGAGCAGAGGCCAGCAGTGGAAGGAAGGCAGCCAAAAAGGGCCTGTAGAGCTTCATCCCAAGAACAATGGGAGCCACGAGAAGGTTTTAAGTGGTGGGCCAATCAGAGCAGTTTGAGGCCTTTTAGACATTTGTGAGGACAGAGAGAAGTAGAGCACCATGGATGTCCTGACCCTTTGCCCAGGTTGACTTGTTTGGTATAAGGGTGAATCAGTAAACTGGGCAGCATGCAGAGTTCCTTGAAAAACAGAGCTTTGACGGTGTTGGATGCTCTTTGCATAGTGTTTTCTCCAGAATCTAATTTAGGGCTGAGCCCAAAATACTCATCACCCCATCATCATTATTAGCTGAATGTCCTCACAGTGCCTGACACTGGACAAAGCGCTTAGTTTAACATTCATTCTTTCATATCACTAAACAAATCTACCATGCAGGTATAATGTTTGTTTTTTGGTTTTTTGGTGGTACCAGGGATTGAACTCAGGATCTTGCAGTTGCCAGGCAAGCACTTATTCCACTGAGCTCTCTCCCCAGCCCCAGGCAGGTATAATTATTATCCCCATTTCACAGATGAGATCATGAAGGCTCAAGGACACTGAGTGGCAAGCACATGGCCACACAGCCATGGCATAGCCCTATAGGACCTTGTGCACAGGGTCAGGTTCTGAGATTCTACAGTGCCAAGTGCCAGGTGCCAGAAAGGAAGCTGACAAGGCATCTCCTGAAGATGAAGAGAAAATCGATTACCTGACTCAGCAAATTGCCAGGAGGGTGCTCTTCCAAGCCTGAGGCAGAAGAGCTGATAGCTGTGCTTCTCTTTTGGAATCAAAGGAATGATTTTTTTTTTTTTTTTCCTTTTTTAATGACAAACTCTACTTTATTTTAGGCTTTGGGAGGCTTCCTGAACTTCACAATGTAGGAGGTCATAACTTACTCTTATCTTTGTTCTTTTCATTGTTTTTGTTGTTGTTTGTTTGTTTGTTTTTGGTGGTACCAGCAATCAAATTTAGGACCTTGTGCTTGCCAGGAAAGCACTTATTCCACTGAGCTATCTCCCTGGCCCCCCTTTGTTCTTTTCAGACTCCATGCCAGACTTTGCTTTCTTGCTCTGCTGTGCAAGCTGGACTTGAACTCATCACATAGCCCAGGATGTCCTTGAACTCCCAGCAGTCCTTCTGCTTCAGCCTCCCAAGTGCCGAGATTGCAGCATGTGCTGTCGTGTGTGGCTTTATGCCAGGCTTTTGAGAGCCAGGGAGTCTCAGATCAAGCACCTCTTCTGTCTGACATGAACCTCATGGGCTAGTGACTTCCCCAGCTTTGTTGTTAATCTGGCTTACAAACCTTTCTTTATGTCCTTCCTTTCTTAGTCATCTTCTAGGTACCCTCTGACCCTTGTCACTCAACCTAGTGTACCCCCAAGGAGAGTAATGTGTGAGGCCCTTGCACAGATTAGACACTCGGGCTCCTTCCCTGTCATGCCCCTTGACTCCACTCTGTGCTCTCATTACTAGCAGATCCTTTCCCAAAGCCTGTGTAAGTCAGCATTTGGATTTATCCTGCTGCCTCTTTGGCACTTTAAAAGCCTCTCCTAATTGGTATCTGTTCCCGGTGAGATTCGGCTTCCATTATGTAAAAGAGACCCTCAAATCAACTCCCTTCTTTGCCTTTTTTTAGAATATAGCAGCAGGTGTGATCCTCGAACAAGAATTTTTTTCCAAGTGAGTTTGTATTCAACTAGCTGCAAATCTCCCTCCCTCCCTCCCTCCCTCCCTCCCCCTTTGTCTCTCACTGTATCTGTATACATAAAGGTATGCACACACATACATACACTTGGTTTATGTGAACACAATATCCAGTGTGCTGAGATTCTATTTTTTTGGATATAAAGGAATAAAATTGCTTTAGGGAACAATTTAAAGGCCATTAAGATCACACGGTATCAGAATCTCTTTCTCCTCTTTCCCTATCTGACAAATATCTCTTATACAGACTATAAAAATGCAGGTAAAAAGTATCCAAGAGATCTCCAGTCTCTGGCATATCCACCCTTTATTTTAAAGCATCTTAAATATATCCTTATCATGCCCATTGCCCTCCAGTATTCTAAAGGCCTTTGTTGCATAAGCAATTTCTCTATTCCGTCGTGGCTTATCTGACAGTTTCCCATTTATTTTCTACCTATTATTGTACTCGACTTTGAATTTTAAAATCCCACTGTGGGTTGAAAAAGACTTAAAGGATCTTGAAGGACGAAATCAGAAACCTAGATTAGCAATTACCAGAAACTTGCCGGAAAGTAAGGAGGTTTTATCCTGTTTGGACCAGCACAAAGACCTACGAGTCAAGTGTAATCTGAATGCATCGTATAATGAAGCTGGTACTCTGGAAAAGTGACTGCCTAACTTCACTATTGCCTTCTCACAAGTGAAGCTACTCCTAGGATAACACATTTTATACCTGGGTTCTGTATGAAAAAAATCTCCAACATTAAGCCTCCTTCAGGCTGAATGAAAATTAATTTTCTTACTGCCTTTGCTGTTGGCTCCCTTTTTATTTTCTTTAATCAAAAGCACTCATCCTGCCCCACCCCCTCCCCACACACACACACACTACTGAATGACTTCCAGCGCTCCTAGGCGCCTTCTACCCCGGATGAAGACCACAACTCTTTATCTGGACAATAGAGAAAAGCAAGTGGGCTTCCTGGGCTCTGCAGCTCAGGAGGAGGAGGAGACGGATGCAGGTGAAATATAAGAAGGATCAGTTTGGGTTGTTGGAATGTGCCTGTCCCTGCTCCCCTGCTAGCCTGCAGCTCCTAAGTACTCCTGTCCCGCATCTCTACCTCTTCTTGTGTGTGTATTCTGAAGTGTCTTCTCAGTTCTGCTTGATGAGGCTGTTTTCGTGGTTCATTCTCTCCAAACATCAAAGCCACGGCCAATGTTACAAAGCGTGTCACATGCCATGCACTGATTCTGCTGCTCAGAAACTAACAATTCATTTATTGTTCAAAATAACTCCATGATGTGAATGCAAATATCATCCCAAGTCGCAGACAAGGATGTTGAGGCTTCAAGAGGGAGGACAAACTTGCCCAACATCCTACAACTAGCAGTGGTTGAGTCGGTTTACAAATCTAAGTGGTGTAGATGGAGAACTGGTCCTCTTAACCACCGGGTGACAGTGCCCCTGCCACTGGTGCCGATTCGGGCACATAGAGGCACATTTTGCATGATTTTCTCAACAGATGGGTATTGCTTTTGCCTTGTTATGAGGTACATGTCCAAGTCACATGTCTAGAAAAATAGGACCTCTCTGGAAAATGGTCAGCCTTGAAAAACTACGGAACAAAAATGCCAGCCCCAAACCAGACATGGTGGCACAAGCCTATAATCCCAGCACTGGGGAGGCTGAAGCAGAAGGATCACTATGAGGCTGAGCTGCATAGAACAATCCTGTATCAAATAAATAAATATTTTTTTTAAAAATCTCAAACATGCCAGCCCCAATCAGCCTATTCTTGCCTTGCCTGCTTATAGAGAAGCCACCGGGCATGAGAACAGTGAGGGCAGATAAGGCTAGGATGAGATGCTGGGGCCACTATTTTTTATTTCTGATTTTCAAGGCTGATTATTCTCTAGCTAGGTTTTAGTTTCGATACAAAAGGGTAGTATGGATAGGAGCTAGGCAAATTTAGTTCCTCTTTGAGGAAATGCTGAATTTTAGCTTCTAGAATGTTCTGTGCTCACTGCTACCAGTACAAAGATGAGAACGGGTGTGTTTTCTACCTTCCTGCCCTTCTCAGGAAGCTTGTCAGTGAGACTTCTGAGCACAGGCCTTTCAGAGGGGGGCAAAGTGGCTCTGTGGTGCTGGAGCAAGCCAGTGTGGCCAGAAGGCCAATAGCAAGGGAGGGGGCTCTAAGGTACATCTTAAAACAAGACATAGAGAATAGGACATTGTGGCTCATCTATCCATAAAGCCATGTTTTCCCTCACTGTCCCACTGACAGGTGATGTCCTTCATAGCAAGTTTTGTTTTCCTCATTGCTTGGTGAAAGCATGCTTTCAAATTCTAGGAGAGGCTCATGATACAGACAGACACAATTGCAAATATCTCTGTGCTGCGCAGTCACAAAGGATTTCAGTGGGGGCTGTGTTTGCACAGGAGATAATGCAGGTGAAAGTCCTTGGAAGCAGTGAAGAGCTCTCCACAGGCTGAGGCACTATCTTGTACAATGGGCCCTGTTTTTGGTGACGTGTGAGCCTCTCGCATTGCTCACACATGTAAAGTGTTCAAAGCAAGCCTGGTGTGTGGTAAATAAGGGTACAAGTATTAACTGTCATTCCTACTACTTCGTACCTCCCTTTTGTCCTTTCCCCAGCCTCCACGAAACTGTTTTAAGGGCCTGTGCTCCTCTTCTCTTTTAGGCCAGAACAAAATCTGCTTCATCCCAGGCATGGTAGGCCCTATATTAGAGATGACACTTATCCCTGAGGCTGAGCTTCGGAAAGCCACCATACCAATCTTCTTCGACATGATGCTGTGTGAATATCAAAGGAGTGGGGATTTCAAAAAGGTAAAAAATGAGACTGGAAACTCATGCCAGCATCCCTAATCCCCAGCCCATTTCTCCATAATGATATCCTCGTTCCATCTGCCTGAGCTTCATTCAGAGGCTATGAGGCAGGACAGGGACATTCATTCATGTGCCCAGAATGAGCTGGCAGATGGAATTTGGTCAGCGTTTTGTCCTGCCTTTCTGCCTGAGGCCAAGACGGGACCGCGCATCCTTGCTGTGGATCTGCTTGGGCCCTCTGTCAGGAGGATGTGTATCCTACTTTCACACCAAATGGCTCCTTGAGGTGTGCTCCCAGGGCCTGCCCTTTCTACCCTTATCTGAAGCTTCATCTTTTTTGATAGCTTCAAAGATGTACATTATCTAGCACTAACCAGCCCAGATGTCACCCTGGGCCGTGCGTCAGAGCGGGCAGCAAATGCGGTCCGAGGCACATTCCTCAGGAGGGACCAATGTGTGTGTGACAGGGGACAGGAGGCTTCCCTGCACTTGGATGAGAACTTGTGTCAAAATGTGAGGCCCCTTGGCCAAGCATTTGCATTGAGAATCTGGCCTCTTGAAGAATGAGGACCACTGCCTAAGTTAGATAATCCAAGAGCTCCAGCAGGGAAAGAATGCACCTACCCCTACAGTGGGTGTGCGACACTGTCCACTCATGTCCCTCATTTAGGAAGAAGGTCTCTAAGTCCCTGCAAGGCTGCCCAAGCACATGCCCCAAGTTCTGCCCCCTGCTTTCCGCACTGACTTCTCCCCTAGTTTCTTGCCAACCACCCTCCCCTTTCTTTCTCCCCTAGTGTTTATGCCTGTTCCTCCATATCATACCCTACTACCAAGGAATTTTCCATAAGACACATCCTGCCTTAAAGAGCAGAAGATTCCAAACCACCGTTCCTCACCATTCTCAGGGGCAATGCCCTTGCTCATTGTTTCTCTAATCTCTACCCACTGAAGTCTGAACGCTCTGTCAGTTCTGACCTTCCTTTATAGTTGCTGGCCATTCCTTCTACTCTTGACCCATTACACCTATTCTTCAGCCATCCCTACAGCTCACCTGAGTGGCCTTGTCCCGGTGAGGACTTCCTTCCTGTTATTTCTGTGTGTTTGTAGCCCTCCCTGCCAACAATTTCTAACCTCCCACTGATCCCACAGAGCCTGCTCCATGTGCCACGGCCTCTAAGAAAGTTTTCTTCCTGTTGCTGCCATTTTCTCTTTCCCAAGAATGACAACTATGCCACATCGCCTTATATCCATCTCTGTGCATTTATGTGTCTTCCTCAGAATCACCTAGTAAGGATGATGACAATGCCTGTCATTAAATGGGCATCTACAATGTTTCAAATTCTGTAAGTACTTTCTGTATATCAGTTTGTGTAGTCTTTTTTATTACAACACTGTACAGTAGACAACATTATATCCCCATCGTGAAGGTGGATCAAAATGAGAGGAAATTGCTCGTCCAAAGTCAGTCATATAGAAAGCAGCAGAGCAGAGGCAGCAACACACAGGCCCTTACCATTGCCAGATCCACACTGTACTCCCATCATCCAGCTAGCAGTACGGTCACAGTCAACGTAAGCTATAGGAATGAAAGCCACTGAGTAGCACCATGTTTTCTCAAATGTGACCCAGAAGACACTAATCCAATAAAATGCTCTGGAGAGAAGATTTCAGGTTAAACATGGTGGACTCCAAATGGTGCCCGGAAACCTGGCCTGGAGATTCCCTGTGTACACTAAAAAGTCAAGAACTTGGATATTCCATGGCAAGCAGACATGTTTAATTTCTCAAATTTATTTTGTAAGAAATATTGTTGGATCCACCATTGTTCCAATCACACTTTGAAAGAAGTTGCTCTAAGAGGAATAAGGGACTGGTTTTCCAAGATGGTACCTCTGTGAGGAAATGTTCCTTTCTCCTTGAGTATTACTAGAAGCTCTCTAGTCCCATAAAGGTCAGTGAACAGCTTCATGCTTTGTGAAGAACCCTAAAAGAAGTCAGACTGAGGAGCTCAGATGGAGAAAGAGATGATCTGACCAACTGGGCCAGGAGAATGGGAAGTGAAGACCTGGGCTGTGTGTCAGGATCTGCTGCCACTGAAGCATGAGCACAGGGTGAAAGCTTGGGAGCACCTGACGACTTACAAAATCAGATAGAAGACTACTTTCCCTCAGATGAGTATCTAGGTTGGCAAGTGTTTTAGAGAATTCCTGGAAACAGGTGTGGAAAGGAAACATATATCTATATACAACATCCTAAACAGAAAAATTATCTGGTCATCATTGAGACAGAGCTGACAGATGACTGTCAGCAATATGTCTTCAGAGGCTTGATGACACTGCTGTGACTCTCCTTTTCTGAAGGATTCCCTTCATATCATGCATCCATAAATGGGATTTTCCACAAATGGGATCCTCTTAGGGCTGTTTGCTTCTGTATGAGTTCATTGTAAGCATGTTCCCCAATTGCTTCGATTTGCTCCTCTCTGATCAAAAGAGACAGGACAATCAAGCTGACTAATGGGGATTTGGGGATGTGAAAACCAGCTGGAGTGTTTGGTGGGACTCTAGCTGTGACACAAGTAGGCCCAGGCATGTGGCTTCAGGCTCAGAGTAAGCAGCTGTGAAGGTTGTGTCCAGGAAAGGGGCAGACAAGGAGGCCTGGCATGCTAAACACCAAGCAGCCCTGACAGACACAACTGGAGTGAAGCCCAGATCAGAGACTTGGACAGCAGCAGGTTGTGTGTGAACTCTGGCCTTGATGCATGCTATGGTTTGTGTCTGGATGTCCCCTAAAGCCTCATGCCATCATAGGGCATAGGCTTTGTGAAGGTGACTGAATCTAGAATTTGTGACAGATTCATGGTCTAAGGATAGGATTAAGGGTGTGAGTGCTACACCTACCCTAGGGCAGGTAGCACTGAAAGAGGATTGCCCTCCCCTCCATTCTTGTTGCATTTGGTATCTTCTGCTGCCATGAAAGATTGTGCCTCTGCCACACCACCCTGCCTTAGAGCCAGCTCATTATGGACTGAAACCTCTGCAAACTGTGAGATAGGTAAATGTTTCCTCCTTTAACCTTGAGTGTCAGGTATTTTGTCTCAGCAATAAGAAGAAAGTAATTAAGGCAACACATGACACCCAATCCTCGGGTAAGAAAAGAGCAGTGAGCCTAAGATGTGATAGTGTTGTCTTTCTAAAACAGCTTGATCCTTGTTCTCCCTCTGAAATCAAGACTTGAATCATCACTGCTGCCTTTTCTATCTCACTCAGGTACAAACTCAGAAGAGCTCTTGTTCAATACTTCCATGGAGGTGGGCTCCTATTAGAAAATATTCTAGGCCCGGGGAGATAGCTCAGTAGAATAAGCACTTGCCTAGCGAGCACAGGGTCCTGAGTTCAATCCCTGGTTCTGAAAAAAAAAAAATATATATATATATATATATATATATTCATATTCTAGCAAGTAAAGGGAATGAAACTAGTCAAGATCCATATATATATTCATATTCTAGCAAGTAAAGGGAATGAAACTAGTCAAGATCCTCTAAAGAGAGACTGCAGAAATGCATACAGAAGACCTGGTACAAATGTGATGATCCATGAGTCACGGCTAGAAGAAAAAAGAGAAGGCTTCCTTGGGTATCAGGACACTTGGAGTTCACCCCTTGTTCTTGACTCAGCTTCCCAATGATTCCCATTGGCCTCTGTAGAACCTACATCTGCAAAAGCAATCTGGAAATGCCCTAACAAATATCTACCTGGGAAGGACGAGGTGAGGAGTCTATGAAGTAATATAGTTGTGAAGCCATGAGTGAAAATGAATTGACCGGGAAGAGCAAAACCATACCCTAAACTCTTCACAGGGCTGATGCTGAGATACAGCCTGTCACAGTGACATAGCAGCATGCTGCCAGGAAAGGCTTGTGTTGGGCCTTTGGCGCTCCCTTTGCTCAAGTCTATCCATCTCTGGAACCCAAGGCAAAGGTCTTTGTTTCAGCTTCCTCACATATAAGCTGGGGATTCTACCCGGCCTCCATGGCTATCATAAAGATTACACGGGATGATGATGCTTCTGATGACAACAGAGTGACAAGATGATGATCATTGCCAACAGTTCTGGAGCATCCATCATGTGGCAAGCACTATGATTTCCCAAGAACTCCTTACAGTGCCACTTTAATAGTAGGTGGGATTTCTCAATTTGCATTTAATAAGTGGGAACACGAAGCACCTGAAGACTTAACTCACCTCCCTGTGGTCACATGGCTGGGAAAACACGGCAAAACAAGATTCAGCCAAGTCACTTCAGTGCCAAGGCCTGGGTCAGAGCCTCTCCTGAGCACAGCACCTGTGCTGGTGGTACCCTTAGCTCTCTAGCCACCCTGGGGGGCCCAGGCACTGCGTGGCATCATATGACTGCTCCTTTTCTGGCACCCTGCAATTTCCCTCTTGGCAGGCTCTTCTGTGACCCCAAGACAAGTGCTTATTTACCCCATCTACTTCTTTGCTCCAAAGAAAAGTTCACTTCATAAGGAGGAATGGTGCCAGCATTCTCAGTCGAACCACTCTGACAGCAACAAATGCTAGTTTTCTCCCCTAAAGCTGCTTTCTAGCAGCATTCTGCAGTAATAACAATAACATTAGCAGTGATAATATGTTGAGCTAGCTCCATGCACACTTAAGCTCATGTATTTATCTAGTGCTTTACATATAGAATCCCCTTCTACTCTGCTTCCTTCCAAGCTGTAGGGATTATGATGACATACACTGCATTGAGAAGGGTGGACAAATGACCGCCTGAAGGACCAAACCATCCTGCCACCTGTTTTGCAAATGATGCTATTGAAATTGAGCCATGCCAATTTGTTTATGTGTCATCTGTGCCTGTTTTTGTGCAGCAGAGTCAAGTAGCTGTGACAGAGACCATCTTGTCCACAAAAATGAAATTAGACACTAACCTGATAGAAAATATTTGCCAATCATGACCCTACGGGTTATAAAGACCACCTCCCCTGCCCAACAGGGTGGAGGGGAAGGGCGAAGTATTAAGTGCAGACACTAAATGGCAGGGGCTGTTCTTACAGCCCCTCTGCTCCATTACTTTCCTCTCTAGACTCAGCACAGACGACATCCGTGAGTACGGTAGCTCTGAAACCTTGACCTTGAGCTGTAATTAACACAAATAAGATGCACATAAGGGACATGATCCATTTGCCGACAGCAGCCCAGACCCTGATGAGATAGGTGCCTACCCAGAGCTGACTTTATTTCCTTTCTTTTATTCATTCTGGAAGACTCAGCTTCAGATGAACCGTATTGCTTGTTTTTCTCCACCTTCCCAGTGCCGTACCTCCTCCCACACTATTTCCTCCACCTGGAATGTGCTTCCTTTTCATATCTATCAGAACCCTACTCATCCTTCCAGTCCCGGTTGTCTCTTGCAATGTCTTCCCCAACTGTGGGAGCGCTCAGATAATTCCTTCACGTGTGTGCTGTGTCAGCCTTTCTGTTCCTCTGTTACTCTTAGTAAGGGATGTGTGGCCTCGCGGATGAGACGTGAACCTGAGGGACAATGAGCCTGGTGCCTGCATTCTATCACCCTGAAATTCCAACTCAGCCGCGCACCATCATTTATGCCCTGGAAAGAGCCTGCCCAGTGGTCTCCACAATTCATCTGAGACTCTAGACAGGCCACTTAAATTCTCAGAACCCCTGCTTCTTCATCTGTAATAGTAGCCAATGATTGCTGAAGGCCTTTCCAGGCAAGGCCTGGCTGTTTTTCATGAATTATCACATTCAAAGGTGACAAAGGCCTCCCAGCCTTGAAGGATATTATGAAGACCGAATAGGAAGAGATTGAAATGAGAGCCAGGAGTCCCAAGTCCCCCCTTGCTCTCGATGATCTTTGTTAATAACTCCCACTCCCTCTCCAGTTTCTTTATTAATGGTAAATGGGGGAGAGGAGGTTGGTGTGAATTGGGTGGATTCTTCAGGGTGTAGGATCAAAACAGTACAAGCCACTTTGAATCACATGCATATAGAGAAGACTTAGGACCATCTTTCAAGATATGTTGAATAAGCAATGACCACCTCCCACCCCAGGGAAAAATGTTGACGTGGACTCTGTGGTTACAAAACATTCTCAGGCTTTAATGCAGCAAAATGTAGTGGGACTGACTACACAAGATTTCTTGCTTCCTGGTTGCTTACTAATCTGACCTCTGACCATTAACTTTGTCACCAGTCTTCACTCTCTGGCACTTGCTGCATGTCTTCTTGTTGCAGGCAACAAAATTCCAGTTTAAGCTCCAGTTTATATCAGCTTATGTGTGTGTGCAGCTATATACAGAAGTTCACATAATGAGAGAACTTCTCATGCAGCCCAATCCAGGCCCTGTAAAACACCATTAGCTCTCGGTTTCTCCCGTCACTTCCTCTCTGTTCCCCTTTGTATTGTTGTTATTCCCCAGCACGCTCTTTCATTACAGTCATCTCCAGCACCCTCAGAGTTACAACCTCCCACCTTGCAGCTCAGCAGAGAGACTCCCTTTTCTAAGAATTCAGCCAAGATTAGAGTCTCACTGGCTTGGCCCAGGCCTTTTTCATCCCAGGGTCTGAGAAATGAATATGCTGATTAAGAGCCAGGCCTCTGTCTGGTGTTCCCATTTGGGAGTGGGGTAGCATTTTCACCCCACCAGAGCCCCACAGACTGACATTAGAGTTAGTGTGATCACCAAACTGTGGAGAAAGATACCAGGCAGGTCGAAATAGTAGCTGTCTGTGACAGCTTACCATCCCTTCAGATGCAGGCTTCCCCCAAGTATGTCTGTACGTCTGCAAACACTGGGAATGCCCTTTTGCTTTTTCAGCTTCCTGCAAAATTTTTACTTGACCTTGGAAAATAGGGTTGAATGAAATTGTCTCTAATAGTCCATTAAAAAAATCACCTCCCAAGCGCTGGGATTACAGGCAAGCTCCACCATGCCTAGTCTCAATTGCCATCTCTCAATCGTTGTCTCAGTACACCGCAGCACAGCATACTGGGGATTGAACCCCAGCTGTTGTGCTCTGCCTAAGCAGGTGCTTCAGTCCACTGAGCTACCTGGCCAGCCATTCTTTGTCTCTTTCTGTCTCTCTCCCCTTCTCTGCTCCAGCACTCATTGCCTGTGCTTCTCCTGAAATATGGAAGTGTATCCTATGTCCTGCATGTTCCAAGCACTCAGCACTCATGCTAAGAGATAATAAGATACCCTCTAAAGCTTTGGTTAGAACAAGGAGTTAGCTAATGTTGACACTCAGCCTTCTAATGTTGTGATTCTTGATTTTCATCTCCTACCTTGTCAGTTTGAAAATGAAATCATCCTGAAACTGGACCATGAGGTGGAAGGGGGCCGGGGAGATGAGCAGTACGTGCAGCTCCTGGAATCAATGTAAGTTCTGCTCCCAGTGCACAACCCTCCCCCCAGCCCCTGCAGCACCTGCTCTGCCCTGGACCATTGTGGAGGCTCCTGAGTACTGGCAAATTTCCACTTTGGGGGAATAAGCCTTACTTTTCTGTCTGAAGTGTCTATTTCTTTGATGTTGGTAGAATAGGCCAAATAAAAATGAAACTTTCCTGTATTTGAAAGGAGTAAAGAATCTACCAGTGCCCAAGTATCCACTTGATGTCTTAGCCGTGGGGTAATTATTACTAATTTTCCTGGTAGATTCGTGCCAGAGACTGCCTATCACCAGTATTTATAGGTGGCCTACATTGAACGGTACTGTGCTAAGTGCTGTCTGAGTAATTCCTGTGCTCAGATTTATTTTTTGGATCCTGATTTCACAGAGGGGGCTCCTGAGGCTCAGGGAGGCGAGCACATTGTCCGCAGAAGGTTGGAAAAGCTAATAGAGAGGACAAGCTGGGACCTGAAATAGTCTTTGTGAGATTCCAGCGTCCAAGACCATTTGGAGTCAGGACAGAGTTTTTCCCTAACATCTTCATTGAGATACCATTCACGCACCACACAGTCTAGCTCAAGTGTACAATTCATTGACTTCCCAACATGTGTACACTCACACAACTGCACAAACGTCATGACTATCAATTTGAGAACATTTCCATTATTCCTCAGATGAAACTGGACCCTCAGCCATCCCCCCCCCCACGACACACCACCCCGTCTCTCCCAGCCACTTGCAGCCATTTCTTTGCTTCTGTCTCTGTAGATTTGCGTGCTCTGCATTTTTTATATAAATGGAACCTTCCAATATACGGTCCCTTGTAAACAACTTCTTTCAAGTTACGTGATGTTTTCAAGGTTTATCCATGTAATATGCACCAGTGCTTTAATTTTATGTATTTATTTATGTTTTAATTTTTAAAGTAGTACACATTTTCAATATATGATGAATACATTCATTTTGGGGAATTGGAATACATAATCATATATATAATTACATGCTTATTTTATATAGCTATACGTAATTATAAATATTATATATAATCTTAATTCTTTTCACTTCTTCCTCCCCTCTTCCTCCATCCCTAAAAACCCTTCATTTTTTTAAGTCATGATGTTAGGCCAGCTTTATATTTATTTTATTTTGAATCAAACTTTTTGATACAATTTAGATATACAGTGATCACATTTATCATAGAGAATTTGTATCTGCTCATAATATACCTTGATTCCTCTTTTTTTCCATTCTCCTTCCTCCTTTGAACCCTTCTTCCCTTCCTTATTTACAAAAACTTTGTTTCCATTTTATCTTTCTTTTCCCTTCCTTCCTTTCTCCTCCCTCCTCCCAAGTTCCTCTCCCCTTTGAACAATTTTTTCTTACTTTACAGTATCTGTTACACCTTTTGGTCCTTATTAACATTTTCAATTCCTCACAGCAGAGAGACTTTGCAGTATTTACATGTGTATCCAATTTATTTCACTTAAGAGTACGATCTGAGAGTGCATCCTTTTAACTAGGAATGTCTCAAGCTTACCCTTTTTATGGCTGAGTATTACTCAACTGAATAAAAAAAAATCACATTTTCTCTATCCATTCATTAGGGACAGATAGAACTCTTGAAGACATAGGTGTAGGCAAGACTTCATGAACAAAACCCCAATCACATGGGAAACATTACGAGTTGACAACTAGAATCTTATGTTACAGAAAAGCTTTTGAACGGCAAAAGAAATCACCAACAAAATGAGAAGCAAACCCAGAGTGGAAAAAAAATTTAACCAGTTGTTCTTCAGACAGAGTAGTAATATTTAGAACATACAAAAAACTAGAAAAAAAAAAAGACCTCTCAAATTTAAATACCCAATCAAAAAATGGGCATCTGAGATGAATACATACTTCTCAGAATAAGAAATACAAATAGAAAATAAATATATGAAAATATGTTCATAACTGATCATTCAAGAGATGCAAATTAAAACAACACTGGGATTCCATCTCACCCCAGAAAGAATGGCTATCCTCAAGAAATCAACCAATAATGAATGCTGGCAGGGATGTGGGGAAAGGAAACCCTTGTCCGCTGGTGTGAGTATAGACTGGTGCTTCCACTGTGGAAATCAGTGTGGAGATTCCTCAAAAAAACTAGGACTAGAGTTTCCCTTCAACCCAGCAATTCCCCTTCTTGGTATCTTCCCAAAATAATTAAAAGCATCATATCACAGCAGTATACACACACTCGTGTTTATAACAGCACAGTTTATAATAGCTGTCTCTTGGAAGCAAGCGCTTCAGTTTTATTGCCAAATAATAATCCACTGTCTGTTTACTAATATTATCTGTTCAGTACTTAGTTGTTAAATAGACTGTTTTAGCGGATTTGGGTTGTAAGCATGTATGCATGTACAAAATTTTGTGTAGATTTATGTTTACATTTTTCTTGTTTATATACCTAAGGATGCAATTGCTGGGTCATATGACAATATAAATATAGAGGCATTCACCCTTTTGACAAATGGCCAGACTGTTTTCTAAAGTAGCACCAACGTATACATCCCCACTGGCAATATAGGCAGGCGCTGATTTCCCTACACCCTTATTAACACTTGTTAACATCTGTCTAGTTGATTGTAGCCATCCTAGGGAGTGTGAAGTGATAGCCCATTGTGGTTTGGATTCACATTTCCATGATGGTTAAGGACGTTGAGCATCTTTTTGTGCGCTTATTGGCCATTTGTGTATCTTTGGAGAAAGACTTTGGATTTCAATCCTAGCACCCCTGCTTTGGAGCTGCATGACTTCGGGCAAATCACACAACCTCTCTGGGCTTCAGTATCCCCATTTCAGAATGGTAATAATAAGCTCCCATGGTTATTTTGAAGGCTGGGTAATTATAAAGCATCTGGCACACAGCAGGTATGTGCTTAATGAATGTACTTCAGTCCCTCGGCCTGACTCCCAGTTTCTGTCTTTGGCAGCCTGGTAATTGCCCCCCTGCACAGAAAAGGACTCCTCCCAAGGGCTAGGAATGTGGCCAGGCACCCCCAAATCTCCCCCTAACTGTATATTCTCTAAATTGCAATATGCTCTGAGAGAACTCTGATTTAAGATACTTTTTTTCAATCTTTTCTAAATATTTAATAACAAAAGTAAAAGATAGGCCCTTCTCTGAGCCCCGCGGAGAGCTCCCCACCCTGCCCTGGACATCAGAGCCCAGTGGGCAGAAGGGAGTCCAGGCGTCCTGGCATCAGCCAGCCCTGGCCCTGGCCCTGGCCCTGGCCCTTCCTATCTCTGAGCACTGGCCTTTTCAATACCTAAAATGCAAGCTATATGCCCTGGAAGGAGAACCTACTGTCTGCCTCTCCAGTGGATATTGAAACTGATCATCCATGGGCAGAAACAATATTTTGCCAGAGTCACTGTTTAAAGTTCTAAAAAGGAAAATCTAAATATTGACCAGAAGTGAAACCGTGGAAGGCACTGGCAGTTTCCATTTTTATAAGCGGATGGGGCTCTGTAGTAGGCTTCAGACTATCAGCAGGGTTTTTAAATCCTTCCTCGGTGATTATTTATAAAAGGAGTTCTTAGAGGTCGAGGAAATTAAAGGCAGCTCATTATTTTCCTCCCAAGATAGAGTTGTGAATGCTCCTTACACAAAATTAATGAAGCCCAACCCAGACAGTCAGGGCCTCTTCAGAATGTCCAGTGGGCCCCAGTTCCTGCTCCTTCTTTGACCTCTCTGAGCCTCAGTTTCCTTATCTGTAGAATGTAGTATAAAACTCTTGTCAGGTTTTGTGGGATCAAATGAGAAAATTTGTAAAATGTTGAGCATGGCATCATTGATTTTCTTTCTCTTAGTTTTGAATTATTGAAATAGTTTCTGATACTTAATAAGTAGTGCAGATGCAGTAGTTATTATTGTTATTTACCAGGAAGTTCTGTACGTATTGGAAGTCAAGATTCTACCCATGTTTTTCTCTCCCAACCAGTCCTCTCAGCTCCTCCTGTCCTTCCTCCTGTCTCCTTAGACCTGCATACCCTCAGAGCTCTCCTCAGAGCCCATTCTCATGAATCCACATCTGGTTTAAATCATGAGTCCCATAAAGAGTGTAATAATAAAACACACCCCTATCTGCTTGTGCTGCATGCCTGAGACTATTTCTAGAAGTAGTAAGGGAAGTGGAAGGCTGAAAATGACTGAGCACATGTATTTGGGACCTGAGTCTTACCCAAATGAGTTTAGTAGGAAGAGGAGCTGTCACGTAAGAGCTACTCTGCACATAATTTTAAAAGGAATGAATGAGGACTGGCCAAATAGCTCAGCCGATTAAAATGCTTGCAAGCAGGTGCAGGGGTGGGAGTTCAATCCACGGCCTATTTTGCTGGCCCCTCCCCTGGGGCACGCTGAGACCTTCATTGAGACTGGGCATGGCGCATGCCTGTAATCCCAGCCCTTGGGAGGCAGTAAACAGGCAGATCACTACGAGTCCAATCTAGTAGTGAGACCCTGAACACCCTGTAGGCCCTTCCCTAAAATTAAAAATAAAATGAATGAATGAAAGTCCAGGTCTATCCACACTGACAGAAGGCAGAGCCCGCTCCTCTCCCTGGAGGCCCCCATGCCAGCTGCACTACACTTCCAGGGAGGGCCAGCTCGCACCCCCCCCCCCGCACCCTGCAACCCCAAGGCCATAGCAGAGGCAGTGGCAAGAGTGTTTGCTCCCCTCCTTCCTCTGAATGAGAAATTAGCCACATTATCCTGTGATTCCCACAGCTCTTCCTAACTGTCACTTCCATCCTCTACGGGACTCAAAAGAAAGAAACATCCATGTAACCTTGAGAAAGCCCAGCCCCATGGGTCTTGTAGTAATTTACTGGTTATAATATTGCCTACTTGACATTTTATAAGAATTAAACAGGATAATCAATGAAACGGGTTAACACAGCGTATAGAGCCAGGGAGTACCCAGTGCATAGCAGTCCCATTATATATTATGGAAAATCGTTATCTTTTTGCACCCTCTCCCTTCCCCTACTAGGCTGGGATCTACATGGAGGGCAGGGCCTTCACAGTCTCTGAATTCCTACTTTCTACAATACTACATGTGGGTGGGAGGGATGATTGATGGATGGATAACGGATGAGGGATTTCTAATTAATTGGCTCATTATCCTCATCAGTTCTAGACTGTAGGACCAGCTTTCTTGTCTTATGCCTAAGGATAGAGAAACTAAAAAAACCAAGCTTCTGAACACCTGCTTCTCACATGTGGGCCATGAACCCAGCTGATTAACATGGGTTCCAAGAGCCATGTAGAAAGATTGAAGCCCAGGCCCTAGCCTAGACCTAGTGAATCAGAATCTAGCACAGCAATGCTCAGGTGATTTCCTTATGCGCTAACATTGCAAAACTCTGGATGAAGCCAGGGTTAATCCTGCAGGTCATTGGAGTATCCTGGAGGGGCTAAAAGATTAGTGCTGCTTGGGCCCCACCAGCTATTCCAAGGTCAGTGACCCAGGCTAGGCGTGGGGCTTTGCCAAAGCTCGCCATTCAAGCATGGAGCTAGGCTGTGAGCCCCTGGGCTGGCTCAGCTCATGCCTCATGGTGCTTTGTGCCTAGGAAGTCGTGAGCCACGGCAAACACAGTGAAGTCACAGCCTGTTAGTGGGGTGGAAGGCAACCTTGGAGTGGCTTTCCTAGAAGGAGGCAGGCACAGCTGTGGCTGAACCAGACAGGCCTAAATCATAGGGCCGTTGGTGTCTCTCATTGACAATAGGGGAACAGGTGTTTCTCTCAGGGCCAAGATTGATTTGTCTGATCCCAGCCACAGTCTGCAAAGTCGCCTCCTTGCAGCCTGGCATGGCTCCTGGGATGCAGTGAGTTCAGAAGTCCTTGCTTTCCTCGTCTTTGCCCTCCCAAGAGTTCGTGGGGCTAAGACTATCCCCATCATGTGGCCTGGAACAGATCATGTGGCCTGAGTGGTGCTTGTCACCCAAGAGAAATGTGCTGCAGTGTGCCTGGGAGAAGACTCCCCAAGGGCAACAGTGGTTGCTTTGACGCCCCAGGTCTTCACTTCAACTTAACCCTAGGCGGTGTTGGGGAGGGCTTTTAACCTTCCTGAGCCTGATTTCCTCATGTGTGAAATGGGTGGAGCGCCTGCTTATCAGACCTCCAGTGAAGCTTTCCTAAGCAAAACACGTTAGAACATGACGGGGTCTGGCACTGCAGAAATGATTAATAAAAAGTCATCGCTCATCAAAATCTTCACCTTTCTTCTCTCCCTTATTAGCTTGCAGGCTACCTGAGGGTAGATGTGGTTCTTTTTCACATGGACATCTTTCTCCAAGACCACACTGTGCCTTACATAATACCTACCAACTCATAGGCACTTTTCAGATGTCACATTTTTTAAAGTTTCATTTGAAAATTTGAATGTTAATGTTATAATGAACATCATAAGTTTTTCAAATAACATACCCATATTTAAGTAGGAAAATGGAGACTTTCTCCCTCTAGGCCCCTTGTCAGAAACAACTGTGGTGAAGCATTTCATATTTATCCTTCCTGACCATGTCCTAGGCCCCTGTGTGCATTTGTGCATGTGTAGTACTTGGCAGTTCAGGCATGGGTGCAGGAGGCAGGCTGTTAATATTAACCAACTCCGACTCCGTGACCTTGAACAAGTTAGCTGGCCTTTCCATGCTTTAATTTCCCCATTTACAAGAGTCCTACCTCATTAGACTATGATGGGAGATTAAATGAATTAATGTTATAAGGTGTTATAAATAACACCTAAGACATAAGTTACATTTTTAAAACTGATTTAAAGGCCGGGGAGATAGCTTGGCAGTCTAAGTGCCTGCCTGGCAAGTGCAAGGACCCAGGTCTTACCCCCAGCCCCACAAGCTGTGCCAGCCTCTTGCTATGCTGGCCACAGAAACTAGGCATGTGGTGCACATCTGTAATCCCAGAGCTGGAGAGGCTGAGACAGGAGGATCACTACAAGTCCAAGGTGCATAGTGAGAACCTGTACCCAATAATAAATAACTAAAAAGACACAAAAATCCTCTACATATAAAAGAGAAATGACTTAAGTCTCTCACCTATTTATTTTATAGAACTTTTCATGTCAAAATATATTTATCCTTCTAATACCTTATAATGGCTTTAGACAACTACATTCTGTGAAAATACCTTAATTTATTTAACCACATTGTAAATGATGGACACATGATTATTTCAACTATTTCATTATTAGATCCAATTTGTATTGTAAATATATCTTGCCACACTTACCAGAATATTTCTATAGAAGAGATATCCTGAAGTAGAATTGTTGGATCAAATTGTGTATTTAAAATGTTGATAAATGTTGTGAAAATTGCTACTCAGAAGTTGTCATTTTGATCCCCGGGCCTGCCATGCTGGTCCCGCCCCCCAGGGCACACTGAGACAGAAATTGAGACTGAGTGTGGTGGTGTGCACCTGTGATCCCAGCTCTTGGGAGGCTGTAAACAGGCGGATCACTATGAGTCCAATCTAGTAGTGAGAACCTGAACCCCCTGTAGACCCTTCCCTAAAATAAAAAAAGTTATCCTAATGTACTTATAGTCCAAGTTTATGAAAGTAACCATTTCTCCCCCCATTAGTATGCCCACAGTAGCTTTTTAATTTCTGTTTTTTACTGTTTTGATGATAAAAATTAAACACTTCATTATGTGAGTAAATACCGATAGGGACAACATGATGAGCCACCTCACAGATCAGGGGAGCTTGGATTTGCTGCATTGTTGGGCTTGCACTCACCCCTGTTCCTGTATCTCCAGGACTTTGAACTCACACCCTTGCCTCTGTCCATAGCCTAATGGAGTGTGCTGCAGAGCACCCAACAATTGCCAAATCTGTGGAGAACTTTGTGAACCTGGTCAAAGGACTCCTGGAGAAGCTGCTGGATTACCGGGGCGTGATGACAGACGAGAGCAAAGACAACCGCATGAGCTGCACCGTGAACCTGCTGGTACTTTGGGGGTGGGGGGAGCAGCTGTCCGCACTGTCCCAGGGGCCCAGAGTCCTGGGAGCAGCTTAGCCGTGGAGCTCACTGCTTGATAGGGAAGTAGTGCCAATGACACTGGACGTCAGAAAGGTGTGAGCTCAAGTCCCTGCGTTGCCATTGCTAGCTCCATGACTTGATGCCTTCCAGTGACTCAGGTTCCTCACAGGTGAAGGGGGAATTATGAGTCCCCTCTTTAACACTTCACAGCTCCCCAGGAGCAAAGATGGCAGTGCAGTCGGTTAAGAGAAGGAGCTTTGATGGGGCACAGCCTGGTTCTCATCCAGTCTTTGATGATCAGTAGAATGGACCAGCCATGGAGATGCTCTGGGATCTTAGGTGCCTCTCTGTTCCTTGGAGAAGATGCTAGCCTGCAGTCCATTAGTGTGTGCAGTGCTTCCCACAGTTCAATGCTCAATGTGTGTTATTTGACTTCTCCTTGCAGAATGAAGTAACACTATTAACAAGAATGTACAGGAAACTAAAAGGCACCAGGTTATCCAGAGCAGATTATGCCAAATAAAATCCCTTAACCCCTGAATTATATGAGCTCCCACCATTCAGCTCCTAAATGTCTCCCTTGGGATTCTGTGACTTGGTCAGGGATGGAACTATGGTCTATCCTGTCTACCTTAAAATGGCTTACACGAAGAAAACTAGCCAGAGCCCAAGTAGTGTCCACTCCATCACCCCCTGCCATTCTCAGTGGTTTAGTAACATACATCCTGTCCCCAAGTTCTGCTACATGCCCTCCTTCCTTACACAGACAATTTTTTTAACAGCTAAGGTATTGCCATTGATTTTCCCAAATGCTAAGGGGAGTTTAAAACTCCTGACTTCAGCAGAAAGGAATTCAGTGCTAATAACTACACCAGCCCCAATTTACATAAAGAGCAGGAAGAAGGGGAAGTTTTCCAAGAATTGTGCCGTTTCTCTAAGGAGAGCCAGAAGCTGAGTGAAGAAATCGACCTTTGGCAGTCCGAGTGGATCAGAGAGAATGCTAGTGACAGGCAGTTCCATAGCGATCAGATCCTACTACTATTTGGTGTCAGGGAGGAGGTCTCAGTGGTGGATGGCAGTGGCGATAGCATTTCTGAGGTCCTGTGAAGCTGCCACACTGTGAGCCCTGGAATACACCACCTGCCCTACTCTGAGCTCTACCTGAGGGGTTTGGATTAAACTCGGTTTGCTTTTAGATTGCACCATAACCTCCTGACTCTGAGTGGATAAGGGTTTCTTTCAAGGTGTCACAGCATTAGGCTCTCTATTGGTAAAGCCAGGCTACCTCTAATCTAAACAGGCCTCGAGCTGAAATACGGACCCAGCTCCCGAGGTATGGCCAAGTTGAAATGTCCTGGCTGTGGAATCCCCTCATCCCTCCTGAGAGTTCTGTGCAATCAGTAGTTACCGTCTCTTCTTCTGACAGTGGTTCTATCCCTCACTTCCCAGCTCCGTTCCCCAAGACTGTAGGGCCCATGCTTATAGAGACTCAGCTGGCCACCTTCAATGTGGACTTGGTCAAAGTAGACTGCCCAGTCCTGGCCACCCCTGCCTGTGAGCCCAGCAGGCAGCTCAACTGCATCCTCTGTATGTGACAGCTGAAGACACTTCCTCCCTCCTTTTATAGTCAGGAAAATGACCCACAAACTTGATTCTCCCGAGGAGGCTATTGGTTGTATCCAGAAAAGTAAATCTCTTGTTCCCACCTCAGGGTGCCCGGGTAGTAAACAGCCGGCCACCTTTTTCTTATTTCCATCACGTCATCCTCTTCCCCTGAAGCTCCGCAAAGAGAAACACTCATCACTGTTTTTCCTCCCCTAACTAGAATTTCTACAAAGATAACAACCGGGAAGAGATGTACATAAGGTAAGATTGTATTTTCTAAAACTCAGACTTGTCATGATATTCCCTCTGCTCAATATCCATCAATGGCTCCATGCTGCCTTCAGCATAGAATGTAAACTTTTCTTCTTGGCACTGAGGGCCTCTGTGTTCTGATTCCTGTAACTGCCCAGACTCTTTCCATTCCCCTATAATCAGCCTCATAAATCCACTTGGACTTTCCCAACCCACAGTGGTGTCCTGCTGCACCACTGTCTTGAAACATAAATATTGTGTGGGTTGCGGTGTGAGTTGCATTTCTTGTACTAACATGTGAAGTCCTAGTTTGTCTAAGCACAGGATAAAGGCTACTGAATGGCCTGCTTTTGCAGAGGAAAAAATATCAAGTTGTATAATACCTACTTCTTTCTAGGCATTTTTATTTATTGGGACATATTATTGTTATTTTTTACTCATTACAAAAATAATACATACTTTTTACCGAAACAAAAAACACATGAAATATAGACAGGTAAAACAAAACAATGAAATAAATTACCATAACCCATTCTTAATTCTAGACCTTTTTATGCTTCTATACACATCAAATTCTACCATACATTACCTTTTGCAAAAATGGAATTGTGTTACCCATAATTCACTCTTCATTCTTTTTTACATGACAAGAATTCTGTGTCAACTAATACTATTTCAACATAATTTCTAATAAAACTAAAAATTTTCCTTCCTGGAATATACCAGTCCTCTATTGTTGGGCATTTAAGCTTTTTTCTTGTTTTGTTCTACAGTACACAGCACAACAGCAGACGCCTTAGACATAAACCTTTGCATTCATACTCCTGAAAAAAATCAGCCAGAAGATTAAGGAAGCCAGAATTTATGAGTTGGCTTATTTCATCAAAGGGTAGAGACTTCAAGCCCTAAATCTGACACTACTGCAGATATCCTTAGATACTTAGTTTAACATTATTCCAGAGGTAGAAACAATTATTTGGGGAAAAACATTTCCATAGGTTGTCCTTAGCTTTGGTTATTTATAGCATCATTAAACATGATATGTTGTTCTACCACAAATCTGTGGCACTGGAAGGATCTGGGATCTTTACCTTGTGATGCTAGATAGACTGTTATCCTGGGAAGATTTTTCCAGGAGTTGGTTGAAGTTTCCCTTTCTGTATAATATTTCCATTCTACCTTCTGTTTTGAGGATTAAATGAGATACTAAAGATAAAATGCCTGGCATATGGTTCCTCCACTCGAACCTCTTGCCTCTCTTTCCTATTTTAGAAGCACAGATGGTGAATCCCAGCCTCCCACAAGCTTAGAGATTTGGGGCCTATAGTAATCTAGGAAAGCCATATTTGCCCAAACCAGACATTGTAAGCATAAATGTAGTCTGAAAACCTGTTCTATTTGGCAGGCACAGTATTTCAAAACATTTTTACATTTGGTTGCCAAATTTTTTAATCTAGAGATTTTACATGAAAATCAACATCTCCTTCTCCTTAAAAAAAAAAAAAAACAAACCTCAGAAGGTGTGGTAATGCCAGGCACTTGTGCCATTCAACCACCATCTGAAGTAGGTGGTGGTGACTGTTCTAGACATGGAAAGATTGTCCCTATTTCCTGTGGTACTTCACCTGGCCCACCTTACTCAAGCCCCTGTAGGTATCTGACTCAATGTCCTGGGGCAGACCCATTAGGGTGTCTCCTTGGGGGCTTTGTGGGGAGACTGATCAAATTAACAAAAGAAAGAGGGCATGTTGTCCAGTGCAGGAGTTGAGAGTTATAGACAAGCTCCCCCAGGGCTGTTTCACCAGGGTTTGGGGCCCAGATACCTAGAAGTCTAGGATGTGAAAGATGGGCAGAAAGAAAGCAGAATGAAGTCCTGGATGCACCCACAGGTGTTTCTAAATTACACAATCTATGTGAAGGCCCTGTGTAGTTTCATTGATAACTCTGATCAGCAGAACATTGTCTTAGGCTGGGAAGGAGAATGAAAAAATAGTCCAGTCCCATCAAGGCAGACACCTGCTTCTTCTTGTTTCTGACTCTGGAAGTTCTAATGTAGGTCTAGATTTTCTCATTGCAAGAGTGGTGCTGGGAGGATAAATTGATATGATACATGACAATAAAATGTTCATTGGACAGATGAATGGATAGGTGGGTGGATGGATGGATGGATGGATGGATCTGCCTGGGATGCTTTTCCTCTCATTTCTCACCCCCTTAGAGTTTGGTTCACCTATCAGGCTGGAGCCCTTTCTGAAAGCCCCTTTTTTTCTTACCTAGATAAATCCAGTTCTTACTCCACAGACTTGTCCTTCAAAATATTTATCACAGCTGCATTTCTGTAACTCTTCAGTTGATGATTTGATTCCTATCTGCCTCTTTCAGTCTGTAAACCCCAAAGCCAAATCACAGGGCCTAATTCAGCAACCATCTACCTCTACTGACCCAGCATGAACAAAAGGCCACTAGAGTGCCCTGGTTATTAGTTACCAAATAACCACTAGGTGTCTTTTCTTACCCTCCAAATCCTTGACAGTCTCTATCCTGGGGTCAGATAGTCAACATTTGGCTCACAAGTCACATTTTATGTGGTCAGGGACACTGGATATCAGCTCTGCAGAAATTCTTTCCTGGAGCTGGAAAATAAACCTGAGCATCAGGCCTGAGCCTAATCTGCCCAGAGGGAGAAAGTGGGTCAGGGGAAAGCCCTGCCACCATAGGGCAGCACACTCCTCCCACAGGGAAACTCAAGTCTGTTACCCTCACTAGCTTGCTGAGAGTTGGGTTTGAAGAAATGATCTCAGTGACAGGCAAGTCACCATAGCATTGACCCTTGGCTCTGGAGTCTGTCTGCAGCTCAGGCAGAGTGACTGTTACGTAGAACCTCGTTCACCATGATAATAGACAACACTGCCATTGCTTGTTGCCAGCTCCAGGCTAATCCCTTTCAGTGTATATCAACATTTATAGGCAGTAGTCCTTGTGCCACTGAGGGGGCTCTTTATATAGGACACATGGTCTGCTTGGCCCTTTATACGCTGAGCAAGTCTGCAGCCAGATTCTATGGCTGTTGCCATTTTGCAGACGAGCCACCTAAAGTCCGGAGCAGTGAACTCACTGCCCACTAACACCAATTGTGGATCAACTATCTGAGGATGTACCAAACCTCTTTTTGCTTCTGTTTCTTTTCCCAAGACCCTTTCCACTGAATTGTCACTCCAGGGCTCAGAAGTGGAAGGTCACTTTGCAAAGGGACAGGAAATGTGAATGTGATTGTGGTTGAATATTGCATTTTTCCTGGGACAGCTCAAAGGCTTCATCTGAATAACCATTCTCCAGCCCCTCACCTGCTTCCTTTTGCACTTTCTTTCTACCCAGAGAACATGGCAGAAAAGGTAGGAGCTGCTCTTTATAGTCATGGGGAATTGCTCTTGCTCTGGGACTCACATAGTGATTGAGAGTTCAGCTCACACCCAGCTTTCCTGCTACCAGCGGATGACTTCTGACAACTTCCCTATCTCTCCTTCCCTTGTTTCTCTTCCTTGTCATATTGCATTGGCCAGACTCTCCAGTGCCAAGTTGAACGCCGCCCAAGTGGGTCCCTAACTTCTGTAGGCCATATTTTTTCCCCACTGAAAACTGGTAATCCTTAGTGGACCCATTTCACAAGATTTCCAAGAGAATTAAATGACCTAGAATAATGATGGCAAACCTTTTAGAGCTTTCAGTGACACAAATAGCCGGCTGCAGCATGTGTGCCATGGGTTCACTACCACTGATCTAGGCCCCTCGAAATACTTAATGTAGTCCCTGACACATACTAAGTGCTCAGCAAATGCTAGATGGTGTCATTATCACCCATGCAGAGGGCTCCCTTGTGACCTGGAGAAATGCCCAGCTGTTCTGTCTGGCATCACTGTAACTTGTAGCTCAGTATATTTTCCCCAAAACAGGTACCTGTACAAACTCCGGGATCTTCATCTGGACTGCGACAACTACACAGAGGCCGCCTACACGCTTCTACTTCACACCTGGCTTCTTAAGGTACTGGCCCTTTGGGTGGAAGAAATCCCCCAGAAATCCCCTGGGCCTCCTCACAGGATGCTGAAGAGTTGACAAAAGGAAACAAGAAAACACCAGCAAAATGAATTTTGTTTTGCTCAGTGGACTCAAAACCTGACCTGCCTAGATGTTTGTCTGCTCTACTTCACATAATCATGCAAGGTTTTGAGTGACCTTTACATTGAGCAAAAATAAGCCCTGAGATAGGATTTGCAGCGTTACACAGGATCCAAACTGTTATCAACAATTAATCATTAGCATGCCCAGTGAGCTGCCTGCCTTCTCTTGAAAACTTTGCTGTAGCTGGTCAAAGCCTGAATGATCTCTTTGGATTTTGAAGGGCTGGGACCATGACTTAACCAGGGTTTAGAAAAAATCCTGCCTGACTACACACAGTGAGCCAATAGAAAGACACAGAAATACAACACAGCAAAAATCTGGACACATTTCCCAAATGGAAATTGTAGGCTAATATCTGCCCACAAATACCCAGTGTCATAGGGAACATGACCCCAGCAGAGGGTGTTTACAGAGCTTTATCTACTCCTTATCAGTGCATTTCTAGTATCCCTGACTGATTTGATTGTTCTGGGACATTGGAGGTACTGGAGGTCCACCTCCAGATCCTGGGCACTGGTGCTCCATGAGGACAGCCTCCTCAGTGTTACAAGCTCCAAAACTGGCTGAGTTTGGGCAAGGAGGATAAAAAGAAAAGGCCAGGGGAAGGTGGTTTCTCCCTTTCATCCTGGGAAGACATCTGCCATTGGCAGCCTTGTGGCCCCTTGTGACTTGAATCCTCTCTTTACAGTGGTCAGATGAGCAGTGTGCGTCACAGGTCATGCAGACAGGAAATCAGCACCCCCAGACCCACCGGCAACTGAAAGAGTCGCTCTATGAGACCATCATAGGCTACTTCGACAAAGGAAAGGTAAAACTGCCCCTGTCCCATCTCTTTCCAAGAGGACCCCAATCCCTGGGAAGGACAGTTCTCTCCCATACTCTACATTCATTCCATCCTCAGGCCTGACCAGATGTCCCTCCAAGTCCTATGTCTGATAACTTCTTACCTGGACTCTACAATGGATCCTACGCCATTTCCCTGCTTCCCCTACGGCTCCAACAGATTATCTTTCATACAGAAAATACGGTGATCACAAAACATACGCTGGAGCATGCTCTTTGTCTATCTATAATCATCTCAACGACTCGTTCTACCTAAGTCACACAATCCTTCCCATGATTCACGAGGCCTCCTGTAAGCTGTGTCTTGGCTGCCTCCCTCTCTCGTCCCCTCTGTTTCCTCTTTCTCACATCCTATATGCTGAGCTCTTCCTAACCTCAGGGCCTTTGCGCTTGCTTTTTCTAGCTTACGGCATGCCTCTTCTGTAGCTTTCCTGTGGAGGAGAGAGCTGGCTCCTCTCACTGGTCAGGATTTTTTTTCAAATGTTGCACCATAAATGAGGTGGCCTTCCCAGACCACCTCCAAACAGAGCAGTAGCACCCTTGCCCGGAGTCACCTTTCATGCTCCTTCAGAGCTCTGGTCACTGTAAGACACCAGCTTATTCCTTTTGGTTTCACTATTTATGCTCTGGCTCCCACTATAGAATGCCATGGGAGTGAAGGCTTGGTCGCATCTACTGGTGGATGTCCAGCAGCCTAAACAGAACCTGACACCCAGAGAGACCGATTCATATATTCTGGATAAATGAATGGCATCCTTGTTCTTTAAACAGAAAGGATTTTTGGTTGAATTTGACCAAGTGACTGGACAGATCAGCTGCTGCCCACCTCTAGCACCCAGAACATGTGCAGGAAGGCATTGTTCATCCAAGAGGAGAGTGGCACAGCAGCTAAGGGCCCAGGCTCTGGCCTTAGCCACCTGGATTTCATGCCTTGCTTCTCTACCATGCCCCCTTTGGTTGGCTTCTTGTGACTCCAATTCTCCACCCAACCTAGTGAAAAACTACTGGCACCTACTTTCTAGGTGTGGGGTAAAAATGAAATGAGAGGGGCTGAGGAGATAGCTTGGTGGTTTAAGCACCTGTCTGGAAAGCACAAGGACCCAAGTTTGATCCCTGGTACCACATGCTGTTCTGGCCCTGGAACCCGGAGTGAGCTGTGCTGGCCACTGAAGCCAGGCATGATGGTGCACACCTGTAATCCCAGCACTGGGAAGGCTGAGGCAGGAGGAGCACTATAAGTCCAAGCTGTGTAGTGAGACCATGTATCCAATAAAAAAATAAATAAATAAAAAAGAGAAAGAGAAAGTACATGCACTTCACCTAACATAGGAATTGGAATTGGTATGTGGTAATATCTTGATAAATTTTAATTATCACTATTACCTGATGCCTTTACTTCCTCTACTGACCCTTTTTCAAGGCTCCAGCTTACCTACCCCCTTGCCTTCCCACTGAATTGCAAGGTCTCTCCCGCTCAGCAGGACACCACTTACCACTCGCCTGTGGCCTATCCTTTCGCACTGCTCATCGCATCTGTCTTAGTCTGAGCTCCTCCACCTTCTCTGGAAAGATAACATGAGGTAATGTCTGCACAAGGGCTTATAAATTCCCAAAGCTGAGCATTTGGAAAAGACTATTTTTATAATTTACAATTCTAAGCCTCTTGAGGGCAGAGGCTCTGCTGTCCCTTGCTGGCCTGGCCGTCAAATCAGAGCCTCCTCTTAGTTAGTTTGCTGTTTCAGTCAGCCACAGTGTGAAAGCCGTGGAAGGATCTGTTGAGCTTTGGATTCAATTCTTCCCACTCTGCCCAGCAAAGAGAATAAAGGCATGAGCCCCAAGTTTCAAGAGCTACTATCTATTCACCAGTCATTATCCTGTGCATGCTGTTCCTAGGTATTATGTGGTCGTGGGGGAGACAGCAAAGGATCCAGGTGGTGCCGTCATAATTGGCAGCAGAGAAAAGGCAGAAGGGTATAGGTCATGCTGAAAGCCACTGTGTGGAATCTTCTAGAATGAAGCCCAGACTTATAGCACTCCTTTCAGTTTGCTTCCTCCATGTTTCTTCAGGCAGTCATTGCTGTACACACACATGGCTTGCTTCTCCACAACCCACTTGACATCACCCTGTGGATGCCTATGCTTCCTTCAGAACTCAACACTTACATCCACGATGCCCATTCTTCCCCCACTGCTACCATGACAACAAAAATCCGCATCTTGTCTGTGTCTCTGCCTCTGAGCTGTCACTGCCCACATCAGTGCCCATGAGCATGCTCAGAAGCCAGCAGGGAAAAAGTAAAAGTGAAACATGTATGAGACCCAGGAACCCCAGAGCCTGTCAGAGCTCCCAGGGGCCCTGAAGGAATGCCTGGGCATCTGGCTTCCTGCTCTGCCCCCATCCTAGTCTTTTAGTGATCTCTTTACACAGAGGGAGAGCACTATGACTCCCTTATCATGGTGGGAAGTTGGCAAACGCCTGCACTTGAGCCAGACAGTCCCCTGGCTGTGCCTCACCACAGCCTTCTTGTCCAGGCTGAAGCCTACTGACCTGGGTCTTCCTGGCACATAAAGTATTTTGATGCTTCTCACTAAGCTGCTTCAGGTCTACAGCCTCTGCTCCTCCACTCAGCACTTGCTTTTATTTATTTTGATGTTTGCATGCAGAGAGAGCACTTGTGTGACAAAGCTCACACTGCATTTGGCAACCTTGTCTCTCTCTCTCTCTGTCCCCCAGTCTCCATTCAGGAACATTCTCTGTTTCAAATCCAGCACGATATGCAATGCGGATCCCTTGAAATTGTCAGAACTCCAGCCCATCCTGTCTCTCCGGCCTTTCTGAGGAGGCTCCTGACCCCCAGTCTGAGATGGTGGAATGGTCTTGGTTTCTGACTTGAAACAGAACATAAAACAAATATTGCCTGTGTCCTGGGTTGGTTTTTTTCAGAAATGTTTTTAAAGATGGCAAAAACCTACTGCCAAACAGTTTTAATCATTAAAAAATATTCTAGTATTACATACTCTGTGCTGCCCCCACTTACGTCCACAGCCAGATCACTCCATTAAGAAACTCTGCGAGTGGTCACTGGGAAAGTCCCTAGTGCCCAACGTCAAGAGCTGAGAGCTACTCCCAATTTTGTCCCTAGAAACTCTGAACTCAGGCTACTTTTTCATTTCTCTCTGAACTGTTTCTCTTTGGAAGATGGGATCAACATCTTCCTGCCCACCCTACACACAGGGGAAGCTGCAGGGAGCAAAAATGTTAAGTTTTAAGTAACCCTTAAGTAACAGAATCACATCCTTGGGGCTTGCAACCTAGCCCTGATTCTGCCGGGCACAGGTAGCTTTGCCCTGTGAACATGATTTTTCCCTGGGCTACAAGGATGCTGTTAGTTACTGCCCAGAATGGTTGGGTAGAATCAGAAAGCCTGTGAGCAAAGCATTTAGCCTGCTCCATTATTTATCAAGATGCTGGGATGAGGACCTGGGGAAAGGTCGTCCCCCCAGGAAGCGCCTGGCGCGCTCTGTATGAAAGGTAGGTCTGGGTCAATGTGGCTTGAATCTCAGTCCCAGAGGACGCAGCCAGAATGAATTCTTTCCTCTGCAAAGGCTCTGGACAGCTGGCAGGGTCCCCCTAACCCCTGTGTCTGTGACCTTTCTGTAGATGTGGGAAGAGGCCATCAGTCTATGCAAGGAGCTGGCAGAACAATACGAGATGGAGATCTTCGACTACGAGCTACTCAGCCAGAACCTGGTGAGGGTCTCCAGGGGAGGCTGCCCCTGCACCTTGGGGTTTTGGGCCCTCACTCTGCACAGAGGACGTGGGGAGGGAAGAAGGAGATGAGGCAGGGTTAGGAAACCAGACAAAGAAGGCAGCAGGGCCTACGTAAGGCCAGTCTGAGCATCTCCCCACTCTCCTCTCCCCTCTTGGCTGGATGGACACTTGGTACCTGTGCGGCTCTGCTGCCACTGCTCGTTGCTGCTCCATCCACAGTAAACACTGTGCTACATTTGCACCACAAATCACTAAACCAATTAAATAAAAAGCACAAAATTGTGCTTTTTGATGAACAGATAAATCACATTCAAATGCTCACCATCTGGCTTCTCCCATTAGCATCTTGATGCTCGAGACTTGATGAGGAAAGGAGTTAGGGGGCCGCTTGGGCTGCAGATGGCAGGCCTGGGCATGGAGCTGGCGTCTGTGGGAGAAAAGCGGAGCTCTGGGCTGCTTCCCTCTCCTGCAGCCCTGCATACTTCTTGGCTACCTCAGTTGCACAGCCCTAGAGCACCTCCTCAGCCCATTGAGAGAAGCAAGTCCAGAGATTTCCAGAAAACTGTAAAATCAGGGTGAGAATGTTAAGGGTGGATTGCAGCTTTTTTTTGTGGGGGGGAAGGTCTACAGAGTGTTCAGGGTCTCACTACTAGATCAAACTCGTAGTGATCCACCTGTTTATAGCATCCCAAGAGCTAGGATTATAGGCACATGCCACCAGGCCCAGTCTCAATGGCCATCTCGGTGTGCCCTGTGGGCCGGGCCAGCACAGCAGGCCCAGGGATCAAATTCCCAGCCCCTGCACCTGCTTGCAGGCATTTTAATCTGCTGAGCTATTTGGCCAGCCCTCGTAAGACGTTTGTGCTAATATTATTTTTTTTTTTCGTACTGGGGATTGAACTCATGACCCTGCACTTGCCAGACAGGCACTTCTTCTACTGAGCTATCTCCCCAGCCCTGACAGCTTTTTGGAGGAGGGAAATAAGGTGATCCTGTTAAAAGCAGCTGAGTTGCTAGCTGTCTTCACTGTGCAAGAAGTCAAGAAGTGATGCAAACGGACAGGTGTTTGCACCTTGAGATGCTTGATACCCTCCCCACATATATGTCTGCACGTGTGTTTGTGGACTCAGAGCCATGTGTACCTTTAAACATGTGCACTGGTATCCAAACACATACTGTGCACAGGTGCTGACCCCGCACACACCCATGCATGCAACGAGATGTGTGCATACCCCTGCACAACGCTGGCACCCAGGCATCCATCTAGATTCATATAGATCTTCCATAATGTGTCAAGTTGAATATGCCTTAGCTCATGAGATATGCCTTTACCTGTGTGTGAGCGTGCATGCACACATGCACACAAACACACACACACATGCATACACGTATGATTTCATCATAATGTCTTTAGTCTAAGAGCAATGTAAGGTGGCATAATGTATAAAGTAAGATAAAACTCTTTTCATAGATGTGAAAATAAAAAAACTCATACCTTTTAGAATTGATGAAATGTGTTGGGGATACACACACTGAGGCACATCTGCACTCAGACAGATGAATCTATTTGTATACTGTCACAAACATATGTCTGTGCATGGAATTGGGGTGCCGTGCCTGTGGGAGGACCTGGGTTTGGTCCTACACTCACTGACTTCACTAAGGTTCCATTTCTTTAGCTATCACTTGTAGATGTTCATGGGATTGTTATAAACACGATGTGGGTATGAGCTACTAGAGGTAGAGAAAGTACAGTACCCAAGTACTGTGGACAATGCTGTAATTTATTATTACAGACAGATCCACAGAAATGCTCAACTATGCATTTGCCACATTGGTTTTGCTCTAATGACAATGTCTTAATGGGCTCTTCGAGTTGAATATGCCTCGGATACACATCTATGTTATCATAAGCTGTGTTTTCTACTTCCAGAACCAGCAGGCAAAATTCTATGAAAACATCATGAAAATCCTCAGGCCCAAACCAGATTACTTTGCTGTCGGATACTATGGCCAGGGATTTCCCTCCTTTCTGCGGGTGAGTTTGGGGAGATGCAGACATCAGACCGGGGTCTCGGGGCCTGGCCGTCTCAGCTGTCCCTCTGTGCCCTGACGATCTGCTAGTGCTCTGAAGGGCAGGGCTCAGGAGCTGAGCTCTGTTCTGTCTGGGTGCGGCCACCAGCCCCGCCAGATGCTGCGCCTGCTGTGTTTCTCTGCACAATGACTACAGCTGTCTCAAGAGGTGGTGAGCTCCCCACCACTGAAATAAAGAAATCTGAGAGCCAGGAGGGGGTCTGCACCCCAGGAGTTAGGACAGAGCGCTGGTTTTCAGACCATCAGTCACTGAAGCCCTTTACTCTCTTAAGTTATTAAAAACACTGAAGGATTTTTATGTTTATAGACTATTTCTGTGTACATATAACATATGAAAAATGAAATCTAAGAAAAATTTAATGGAGTTTATTTAAAAATAATAAGCATATCACATTAGTATGTTATATTTTAGGAAAAATGTATATGTACATGTTCCAGCTTTAAAAAAAAAAATCCGTGAAAGTAAGATTGCTTTACATTTCTGCAGCTCTCTTTAATATCTGGCTTAGGAAACACAGACAGGCCCCTTATCTGTAACTGCAGTCTACTGCCGTCATAAGCTGCAGCCTCTGGGTTGTGCCCTCACATACTTACGAGAGCATGCGAGTTAAAAGGTCAATAACAGTATTATTATGAAAAAAAATTTGGTGCTGTGAGTCCCTGAAAAGGTCTTGGAGACCCCCAGGGAGTATCACCACTGCTCTAGTGGCTTCTCCATCCTCTTGTAGGGGATTAGATTAAGTCACCTATGTGCTTCTTTCCAGTGTAGTCTATGACTCAATTCTAGGGTCAGGAGGATATGAAAGAAGTAGCGAGCCTGATCCCTGGCCTCACTTGATTTCCTTTACAGTTGAAATAAATCACCCATCTCTAACAATAAATGTGAAATCACGATGGGCTGGTGGGATAAACACCACAGGCACCTGGCAGGGTGGCCAGGGAGGTCCCCTTGGATGGGGTAACTCCCCAAACCTCGCTGCATGGTGGAGTCCCCTGGGGGACTTGCTGAGAATGCATATTCCTGGGCTTAACTTGTGTTAGTTCATTTTAGCAAGTCTGGGACAAGGCTTGGGAGTCTGAACTTTTGAAGTCTCTTCAGCTCCTCTGATGACTGACCAGGGCTGGAAGTACATAGAAAGAAGTGACAGGCTTGGGCTTGGACAGAAGAATTTAGGGACCATTTGAGGTGGCACTGATGGTGCACAGATGGCCCAGAATAGGGTTCCTCGACCTCAGCCCTGTTGACATTTTGGGCCTGGTAATGTTCTGTTGCAGGGACCATCCTGTGCGTTGTAGGGATGGATAACGGCGTCCCAGTGCCCAGTCGTATTCCTTACACTCTGTGGACAACCAAAGAATGTTCCTGGGCATTCCAAAATACTCCTGGTTGAGAACTGCTGGTGTAAAGGAGGCAGATGTGGTCAGGAAGGGTAAAGAGTGTATTCTGGGGGCTCAGGAGCAGAAGCCCTGGAATGCAGGCCCTGGATGGTAGTCCGTGCCAGCCTACAGACCCACCCCACATGGCCTGCTAAAGGCAGGTGGGAGATTTCATGCCCATGTCAATACAGTGTGGGTGTCACATGCATAAGTGTAGCAAAAGGAATTATGTGGAAGCTGAATGGCAGATGGTCTAAGGGTACTGTTCTCAGCACCCATGGTCTTCCCTACTTTTGAACCAGTCTGTGGAAAGTGATGTGCCCAGCAGCGCAGTGGGGGGAGCTCCTCCTTTCCCTCCCTCTGGTAAGGAACCGAGAGGAGAGGGCTCTCCTGGAAGTCACCACCACAGCCCCACACTCCTTTCAGAAGACCCCTGGCTTTGCTTGGGTCCCCTCCGCCACTCTGGGGCCTGGCATTTCTCACAGGTGTCACTTCTCCACAGAACAAAGTGTTCATCTACCGAGGGAAGGAGTATGAGAGGAGGGAGGACTTCCAGATGCAGCTCATGAGCCAGTTCCCCAACGCGGAGAAGATGAACACGACCTCGGCCCCTGGTGATGACGTGAAGAACGCCCCAGGCCAGTGTATCCTTGGGGAGTGCGCCCCCCCCAGGGCCGGGCAGGGGTAGTCCTGCAGGGACTTTAGCCTGCTACAAGGATGAATGTGGTGTGCCAGTCTTGGTGCCCAGCGTGGCAACCAGAGCATCCAACATAGTCCAGTCTGCCCTCCACACCCATGGCTTCAGTCCCTGGAGACTCAACCAGTGGAAACTGGAAACATGGGGGCGGGGGCAAATGGGTCCTTAGTGTACATACTTTTCTTGTCATTCTGTAAGCAATGTAGCATAATAACAATTTATTGTTATTAGTGTATACCCACTGCATGGGGTATTATAGGTCATCTAGAAATGGCTTAATGTATAACAGAGGGTGTGCAAATACTACACCATTTGACGTAAGGAACTTGACTGTTCATGGAGGTGAGCGTTCTCCAAGGGTCCTGGAACCAGACCGTAGTAGATATCTTGGGTTGACTGCGTGTTCCAACCATTATGGATGAATTTACTTCTTCGTTCATGCATCTTTGTAATGAATACACTCAGGCCCTGACTCTACTGTGCCAGGTAATAGTGACAACAGGTCCTACCTTCAGGGAGCGTAGAAGGCAGCATGTAAAAGAGACACTGAGCCACTAATTGCATTACTAAATGTTTATTTATAAAAATATGAGCCATACCAAGAGGAAGCTGTGCAGGGCATCATGGTTGGGAGGCCAGGGAAGGCTTCCTGGAGGGAGCTGATGGTTGAAGTGAGCAGCCAGCCAAAGCTTAGTGGAAGACAGGAGGGCCCGGATGGCGCAGACAGAGGAGGTGCTGCTGTACTGAGGCCCGTAGCAGAGAGCACAGCAGGGTCCAAGCCCTGACTAGAAGCCACACTGCTATTATATTAAAGCCGGAAGTCTTCAGCAAGCCTGCAAGGCTATCCATGAGCTGCCCACTGCCTGTCCAGCAGGGTCTCCTGCAACTTTTTTCCTGTTTTCGTGTCTCTCTGGCCCATTCCAGCATCTTTTCCTTCTCTTCAGCAGGCCCAGTTGTTCCCACCTCTGCACCTTCACCTCCTCTGCTCCCCCCAGCTTCTCATGCAGCTAGCCCCTACTTACCTGTCAGATCCTGGAAGGGCCTTTTGTTGGTCACTTTATTTATCATGGCCTTTTCTGGACCCCTTGTGACCTCATTTTTCCAAACCCCCATTTCTTTTCTTTTTAGAGTTGACCTCAATGTGTCATAATCCTTTGGGCTTTTTATAGGTATATGAATGTAAAAGATAATGTCGGCCCAAGAGGAGAGACATTTGTTCTGTCTTGTTTCCTGCATGAAGGCTCCTTCTCCCAGGGTGCCTGACACAGAACCCAAACTCAGGAAATATATGCTGATTAATAGAAAAAGAAAACAAGAGAGAAAGCAAAGAGTCAGACCAGCAGGGAGGAGGGAGGGAGGGAAGGGAGGGAGGTGCTGATGCACACGGAGTGTGTGGGGCAGGTGGAGGTGCTGGAAGGTGTCGGAGGAGTGAGCTGCGTGGCCATGGTAGACCTGGCATTCACAGAGCCAGGGGCAGCAGATGCTGGGCAGAGGGCAGGGGGCAGGAGGCAGCAGGCAGGGTGGCAGCAAGCATGCAATGCAGCAGAAGGCTGACTGCTGAGCCAGGGAGCCCTTAACCCTGACATTGTGCTCTTTACCAGAGATCAAGTTGCCACCACTAAAATGGGTTGACAGGCTGCATTGTTGGGCTGCTAAATTTGCTGAACTTTAATCCAAGTATTTTTCCCTCGGGTGATAAAAATTCATCTGTAACCTTTTCATTATGTTTGCCTGCCTTTCGTGCCTGTTCTACCATGGTTATTTGCATGAGGAAACGCAACTGGTAGTAGAGTTGGCTGGTTACAAATGCAGGTTTGGTTACAGGCGAGACACAGGATTAGCACTAAGGCCCTGCTAAAGGGGACCTGGTGTTGAACAGCTGTGTGGCTGTTTATTTGGCATGGAAGAGAGACCATGTACTTCTGGTCCATGCCATGTTTAGGGCCCTGAGGTCTGGGTTAGAGCAAAGAAACAGGTGGCCAAGAAAACACTGAGGGCAGAAATTTGCTTAATGTTCTTTTCATGAGATGGAGCACTTTGTAAGAGCTATTTCTTTAAACCCCATCAAATGCTATAAGCTTGTTGTTAGTTTTTCCTATTCGTTGAGAAGGAGTATGTGAGGCAGCGTGACAAAGCAATCTGCCTAAGGTTATAAAGCTAATTAGTGATGGATTTGGTATTTGAATCCCAAGATCCATCTCAAAACCTGTGTTCTAGTTTACTATTTAAAAAATTTGACTGTGTACCATGTCTTAGGCACTTAACATGCATTGTTTTTCTGCTTGCTTCACAATAGCTCCAGCAAGGTTACTTGAGTAGTAGTGCTTTCTGTATTTTGCTAATAAAAAAACTGAGGCCCAGATAACTTAAGCCATTTGCCTAAGGGCCAGCTAGGAAGCAGTGACGCTAGAATTTGAACTCAAGCCTACTTTTTAATCAAAATCATGCATTCTTAATACTGCGTTCTCTTGCCCTTACTTGTTTAAAAAGTTGGCAAGCAGTGTGGGAACATAACAAGTCTCATGCTTCTCATTTCGGTATCCAATAGGAGAACATGAGAAATGCAGATCAGTTTGCAAAAAGCTGTTGTGACCACCACTCTGTGTATAGGTTTAGTCCATGGCATGAGAGTCCAGCCATGTGTACTCCTGGGGCCTCACTGCACAGGGACAGGTCTGAATTTTCCTTTTATATTAAGGCTAGTAGATAAGATAGATGGATGGATGGACGGACAGACAGACAGACAGACCTGGAATCTTCTCTAAAAGACTCTGGCAACCTTTCTTTGAAGGACCAGACAGAGAATAGTTTTGTCTTTGAGGGCCATGTATCCGCCATCATGATTACTCAGCTCCGCTGTTGTGCTGGGACAGCAGCCATTGCTGAGGCATAAGTGGATGGGCATGGTTGTATTCCAATAAAACTTTATTTATGGACACTGAAATTTTGAAATCTATCTATTATTTTTACATGTCACAAAGTATTGTTTTTCTCAGCTATTTGAAAGTATGAAAACTATTCTTAGTTTTTGGGACATACAAAAACAGGTAATGAGCTGGATTTAACCTACCACACTGTACCAGCTCTTGTAGGCTTCATCCAGAGTGATTTCCTTCCCCAAGCAGGCTGTTGGCCTCAGAGTGTAAGGAAGAGAATGATTTTCTCAAAGTTCATAGAAATGCTCCCATGAAGGCTGACTCATCGAGGTTAAGCGTTCCCTTCTGTCCAAAAGATCCTAGAAATACTCTTCAGAGGTGAAAATATTAAATTCACAACATATTTGCATGAAACAAATTTATCAAAAAGAAGGAATTTAATTTGTAATTTTGTTTTTGCCATCTCTTATGTGTGGATAAAAATCTTAGCCTCCACCCTGAGGATGAGACACCTGGGTAGCAGGGAGATGAGGTGCTAAGAGCTGATCCCAACAGATGTGTAGGCAAATACTATGGGAACCTAAGGAAAGAAAGTGGTTCCTATCTGGAGTGGGTACCATTAGTTTCATTGACTATGGTATTTGATATCTGCCTGAAAGGCTCCCAGGGGAGGGAAAGTGTTGAGAGATGTTCTAAGCAGAGGGTATATCTGTTGGCTAGCCAGAGATATGGTGGGAAAATAAGCCACACCCCTGTAGACATAGCTTCAAAAGCCAACAGGAGAAGGTACTTAGTTGGGAGATGTGTCAGAACCAGGGAAAGACAGTGGAAGTTATGGTGATCTTTGGGAAGAAAGAGAGATGGGCAGAGAGGAAATAGAAGGGGAGGGAAGGAGAGTAGGCATCAGTGATGGGACCAGTGACTCTGGGCTTTTTCATTTCATTTATCACAGTCTGGCTTAAAATGAATAAAGACAGATTTAGAGTAAGTGCAACAAAGACCTGGTGTCAGTGATGCCCCTCTGGTGTCCTGTGCCCTTAGAAGACATCACTGTTTGGTTGTGAAGCTCTTTACTGCTGAGCCTGGACAGAGTTTACAATCCTGCTGCAGATGGTTGCTTTTACTCCAGAGTTGCAGTGCAGAGTGACTTCTTTTTGCATGTCCTGAGGCAGTTCTCAAATTTCACTGTGCATATGAGTCTCCCAAGATCTTTTCAAATGCAGATTCTCATTCTGATTATTTTAGGTAAGACCCAAAGTCAGTCTTTCTAACAAGCCACTCAGGGCTAGCCAGAAGACCATCTTTGAGTAAACATACAGTAAAGAATTCTGATTTCTTTTCTTTCTTTCTTTTTTTTTTTCTTTTTTGGCAGAACCAGGGATTGAACTCAGGCCCTTGTGCTTGCCAGGCAAGCACTTATTCTTCTGAGCTATCTCCCCAGCCCCAAGAATTCTGAGTGTAAGCTTAAAATACCTAAATACAAACGCCTATTCTGGTCTTACAAGCTCTGTGATCTTCAGTAAGTTGTCTGGCTTTTGTGACCTCAATGGGGACAATTCAGGTTACTCATGCCTTCCAGTAGAATTGGAGAGAGTAAACAAGACCTTGGGGAGATGTGTGCTCAGTTTGATGGAGAGATGTGCATTCATTAGATGGCATTATTTTTAATGACAATATAACAGTGGTAATGATGACAAAACACCACTAACTCTTCTAGCAGAAACAAAGACCTGATATGGGGCTGTAGGGTGACAGGTACCTGATAAAAAGCACAGTGACTGCTAACTGGTCATTAGGACCTGGTGGGAAGCCAGAAACCTGAAGCTGATTATTCAAGAAAAATGTGGCCCCAGAAGGGCAGGGCTGGGAGCTTTCGGTTGAAATCTGCTGCATTTGGAACTATCCCAGAGGCCAACAGACATATCATGAGTCCTTAACCTCAAGGATTTCAGACATCCAATGTTTCACTGTCCAACCTGTCTTGGATGAACACCCCAGGTTCAAGAACAAGCCTGTGCCTGATCAGATCATAAAGTAAGACCTGCATTCCATTGGGAAGAGGAATGGGGGAGGGGACTCCAAGGGTCCATAACACTGAGGGGGTGACAGGACAGGCCAAGTGCTCCAACTGTACCTTAGCCAATTTCCCCCCTTTTCTTAGGAGAATTGTTTCAATTAGCTCAGCTCTGTCCCATGTGAGGCTAAAGCCAGAGATGTAGGAGAGGGTCAGGATTGGGGTTGGCTTTGTGGTGCAGCAAATCCTCATTAGACTTTGATGAGATTCATTGGAATACATATGGAAAGCTATTGCCCAGGCTGATCCCTGAGTGGTCAACAGCCAGAAAGTGTGGGCCTGGGAGGTCACAGGCAGTGGAGAAACAAGGGTGGACTCAGGCATGTTGAGCATTCTTCTAAAGGGATATCTTCTCAGCATCAGGCAGGTTGTACACTGACAATGGGCATGTCCAGATTACGTTAAAGAGACAGTAGAGAAAGCAACATAAATGTAGTGTCAATCTCCAGTACCAGGTTGCAAGGTCATTGATGAGGCCATGAGGTGGGAGGTCCACGGGGCACAATGATATGTATTTTTCAGCTGCCTGGCTCACCTCCTGAACCTCAGGTCCAGGTACCAAATAGAGCATTCGTGTGTTTTAGAATACGCCTTCCCTGTGGATGGCCAGAAATAGGAATTACTTCAGGAGAAGCATGTCCCTTTCCCATTGGGCATAGAGGTAGACAGCTCCTTTAGCCACCTCACATAATAACCATGGCTGAGGAGAGTCTCTCAGCCTGGACCGCAGTCTCCCTTACCCTCTTCCTCTGATACCCATGAGTAGGTGACAGTGGCTTTCCAGCTAGTACAGTGCCATGTTGGCAGTGCTATCAGACCTTTCCAGAGACTCAGAGGGATGATAAAAGGGGACAACTAGAACTCCTAAAGAAACCTTAGAGGATACTCCTGCACTGTTAGACTTAGGAATACCTCGATTCATTATTAGAGTCCCAGGAAATGAAGATGTAGGCCACCCTAAGTGCATTCACACCAGCATTCCAAATGCCTGCATACTCTAGAGGTGCTATGGTCTCTTGAGGACATAAAAGTAGTTTACCTTCTAAGTCACCTTGCAGGGCAGCCTGTGCAAGAGCCAGTTTGAGGGTGTCCAGAGCATAGACCCTGACTTCAAGGGCTGTCACAAGACCCCTCTAGACGGGTGTGTACTGTGATGAGCCTCCCACAGTGCAGGCCAGCACAGGGGTCTGCTGCTGGGCACGGCCAGCAAGAGCCTCAGTTTCTTCCTGTCTTTCAGCTTCTACAAATCCAACTACGTGCAGAAATTCCACTACTCCCGACCTGTGCGCAAGGGGACCATAGACCCTGAGAATGAATTTGCTGTGAGTATCTACCCTGCCCTGGATGGTCTTCAGCAGCCAGGCCACACATCCAGAATGGGAGTAACGTGATCCAACATCAAAGAAAATGGGGCAAACTCTCACAGCTGTGATGACACACGCTCCCCTCTCTCTTCTGTTGGGGTTTCTCATTTCTTGTGCCTTTGTCCTTCCAAAATGTGAACTAGACTTTATGACAGATATCTTGTCAGCTGCAAAGTGTTTGGGCATTTTTAGGAAATGGAATCCTCAGGCTGAGAAGGGTGTGGGTGAAATCAGTGTGACCAGCACACCACTATTAGGTGACAGTGATCTAGTTGTCTCTGTCTCCAAAATATGAGTCCCTTGTGCAAGTGCCTCCCAGTGAGAATCTGTCTTCTGTTCCCCAGGCTGAGGCCAGAATGTGGAGAAGACGCTGAGTATCTCAGCTCCTTGCCTCCGACTGTGATTCTTAATATTTTGGGCATCACTGCCTCTGTGAGACTCTAATGAACACAGCAGACCCTCCTCCCAGATAAAATCTCAGGCTATGTAGACACCCAAGTTAGGATTTCTCTGTCCTGGTCCAGGAAGAGCTTAAGCTTCATGCTGGGAAAGAATTCTGAAATGTGCAGCATGTGTGTTTCTAGATCCAGCAGTGTTTGCTCTGCTTTCTGGTAGATGGGCGGCCTTGGGGGCCCGGCAGGCTTTCTGCCAAGCTTGCCTGAGTTCAGCCTTCATGAACGTTTTGTTTTTCTGCCCTTACCCTGCCACCTCTGGGACAGTCAATGTGGATCGAGAGGACTTCCTTTGTGACTGCATATAAGCTTCCAGGCATCCTGCGCTGGTTCGAGGTAGTTCACATGTCACAGGTAAGTCTCAGACCCTTTCCTTCTCTGGAAGGTGGGGCATAACCAGTTGTAGGAGGCTCTATTGACTTTAAACAGATGTTGTGTTATTGTTGATATTCCTATGGTAGTCCCAGAGACCTAAGGCCACATCCAGAGTAACTGCTTTGAGATTTTTTTTAAAAACACATGCATAATCTGTGTCAATTACTTTTTTCTCCTTGCTAGGACAAAATACCCAACACCCCAAATTAAGGAAGGAAAGGTTTATTTAACTCACAGTTTGTGGAGGTTTCAGTCCATACTCAGCTGGCTCCAAGGCAGACTGGCACATGGCAGAGGGCAGCAGTTCATGGTGGAGGAAAACAGCAAAACAACAAGAGCAAAACAGAGGAGTAGCAGCAACAATGGCAGAGGAAGAGGCAGAAAACAAGTCTGTCTCCCTTATATTTCATCCAGGCTATCTACCCCAGGCTGGGTGTAACATTCACACCCATAATCCCAGCAGCATTTACACCCATAATCCCAGAAACACTCACATCCATAATCTCATCACTGGATCATGAATTAATCACAAACTCTAGAAGTCTACCCCATGACTACCTGAGGGTTTGGGGGACAACTAAACACAAACCATAACAATCCCCTCCCCCACTGGTTGAAGCTTTCATAGACTCCCATAATAATGAACAGGCACATCTGTGGTGGTGGAGGGATGTAGCAGAAGGCCTGGAACTCCATCCATTCAGTCCCCCTTTTGTACTCATCCTATCCTAGGAGTTTTTTGGGGATGGCTCTTCAGGATGAACCTATTTTATACTCAGATAAACTGAGGCTCAGAGAAGAAAAATCAGACAGTACCAAAGTTCTAACTAGAGTCCAAATATATGAACCTCTTTGTGCAGATGACCTACATTTGTTTCTCAATATATGAAGATTCTCCTCGTCCTCAGTTAGCCTGGAATCTTATAGTGCCCAAGATCAGGGGAAGGACCAATGTGGTTATAAGAGCATATTCTACCAAGTGGGGGCATATACAGGATTTTTTATACATCAGTTCATTCAAAAACTAGCTCATGAGTACCTAACACATGTCACACTATCCTGAGACCCACAGATCCCAAGTGGAACTTGCATTCTAGTAGGAGGAGACAGACTAAAAGGTCAAAGTAAATACATGCTATGGTCAGAGAGGGACCTTATAGACCACCAATGGCACTTTTTTTTCTATATGCAAAACAGATCCATAAGCAGAGGAGAGAGATGTATTCAGACTAGTGCATTATCAGCATGGACACTGTCACACTCCAGCCTTTAATGCCCCCTCCTGTCCAGTAAGCCAGCAGCTTGTTATCTCAGTGACCTCCTTTTTGTGGGCACAGCCTAGACCTTGGAAAAATAGGATAAGGATGATGACAGTAACAAACCCTTATTAAGCATGTGCTAAGCTGTTCCCTTGCAAGATTGCTTTTGAACACTCCCTCAACCCTATAAGGTAGATATTATTCTCTCCTTCTTGGGGTTGGGGGACAGAATGAATTCATGGGTTGTTCAAGGTTAGTGGAAGGCATAAAGTTGGACTGTAACTTCCATTATCAGCCACTTGGAATGGACTCATTATTTCCTTTTTCAGAGGGTCTCCAGCCACACCGGCAAGGGTAACATGGAAAGGGAGAGAGTGCTCATGCCCTTGGTTCATGGCACATACAGACACATGATAGGTTTAACAAGCATCCCAAGCACCATGTCAAAGGCTTTATAGCCTGACTCCATTCAATTTTCACAAAACCCTATGCGGTACATATGGTCAGCCCTCTGTGTGGGCACATTCCACATGCACAGCCTCAACCTAGTACAGACTGAAGATACTCGAGGAAAAAAAAAACAACATTCAATCTCCGGTTCCACCAAAAATAAGTAAATAAAAATAATTAATAGGATATTGAATACAACTTGTTATGCTAAAAACTTCACTGGTACATAAATTATAGGAATACAGGGATTTTTCTCTACTTTGTGCCATGGTATGCTTCAAGGAACAAGAATGATCTTGGGCTTGTAATTGATGTTCAATATCTAAATCAATCAATCAATAATATACAGATGGCTATCGTGTCTGAGTGAGTTCCCTTACTTTATCACCTCAAGATTTTGAAAGTAGGCAAGAAATACTCAACATTTTTGACCTGATCCTTTCATCTCAATCTTTCTGATAGACAGAGTTGAGGAAATATACAAAATACTGACCAAAATAAATTGGTCTTTAATAGCCTCCTTCACATAAGTTATCGAGAATTTCAAGATATCTCAAACACATAAGCTTAGTACCCTGCCAAGTGACTTCATTTTCAAGTATTTTTTATTATATGAACTTGTGTCTTGTTCTCAGTTCTTCCTTCCATACACTCCCATAACTCTAGTACTGTTTGCATAAGGAAATGATTTCGGGTGGGCTTCCAGTGTAAGTTCTACTTATTTATTTAACATTTTTCCTTGTTGCCCTGAGAAATTTAATCTACAGGAAGCTATAATCTGGGGATCACTTAAGTTCCATGTGGTCGTTATTAGTAGTGTTGGACAAGTACTGTCTATCTCCTCGTCCTAGCATTAGCTATAAAAAACAGATTGCAATTTCAGAGATGAAAGAGATGCCAGAGGTCAGTAAGCTCAAAAGCTATAAGGAATACCTTCAGTGTCCAGTAAGATAAGGTAAATAAGTAAATAACCACCTTAAAACAACAGGGACTAGTGGAGGCTGCATGATGTTACGGTAGCAACTCCTCCCTCCCCCACTTTGCAATAAATTTAACAAACAGAATCTGTGTGCTAAATGATAGACTTCCACAAGCCTTGTTTGGCCTGCAGTTCTCCAGTTTGTTTCCCAATTCTTGTTTAGCAGCATTATATTGTCTATGAGGCAACTGGGGCCCAATGATAGGGTTTGAAATGCTAAAAAGCAGAAGTGCTAAAAGTATCTCCTAGGTCATGTTTGGAACTAGATTTTTAAAAGGTGATATGAAAGAAATGGCTTTGAAAAATTTGGAATGCTACTAATTTATAGGGATCATTGTTATATTTCTTTTGTTTGATTCTCCTCCATCCAACCCTACTTGCTCAACACACATTTTTCCCCAAAACTCTTTTCCTTAGTAATTCCTTTTCCTTGACAACAAGTAGGTAAGAGTTATTATAACTATACTCCCCATAGAGAAACAAGGCACAGCTTAACAAAGTCCCTTAATGACCCATATGGAAAAGCTTCATCCCCATGGTAGTAGTGTGAGGTCCTAAGTCCATCGGGAGGTCCCTCAAAAAGGAGGTGAGCTTCTGGTCTCTCAATCACTCTGCTTCCTGGCTTGTGGTGTGAGCTGTCAGCCTTGACACACTCCCTACCATTGCTATATGGCAATGCTACGAGAGGCCCAAACCTGTGAGTCTGCTCACTGTTGGATCTGACCCTGCAGAGCCATGAGCTACATGAACTGCTCCTCTTGTGAGTTCATCGCCACAGGTACTTCATTGTGGTAACATGAAGCTTACTAATTTGGTGGGTGTTTGCATGAATTTGTGATAGAGAGTAACAGTGTTAGAGAGAGTGAAGGACTCTCACTGCCAAGGACTTCTCACTGCAAGATTTGACATCTCCCAGAACTAGAGATGGGTGAACATTTCCTGTACAAGGGGCCAGATGGAAGGGTACAGACACAGGCAAGGATATGACAAAGTTATGGTTTCACAGGGATTCAAGACAATGATTTATTTAAAAAGAGGATTAAGCATAGGGCTGTGAAGGCTGATCTACGCCTCTCATATGTAGTAAGCACAAGCAGTTACAGGTGACATTTTTAAAAAATTCTACATCAGCTTTTGTATTATCTCAATCTTTACTGCATTACCAGTCAGACAAGCAATATATTACAACCATGTAGACAAGTATAGTTTAAGGTCCCTTTTTCTATGATACTTTTTAGATTCCTTGATCCTTCCAACCCCTACATTTCCTGCCAATGAGTCACCCCCTTGTAAGACAACTGCTGTTAAAAATATTAATAACTAATTACCAGTAACTCTCTGACATAAGTTTCTCTTATTTCTCTTTTACAATTAATCGAGATTCAGATAGGTTAGGAAACCTGTCCAAAGTAACACAGTTAGAAAACCCCAAAGCTGAATTCTGTACTTTTTTAATTTAATCAGTTCAGTGGTCAGCAAACTATGGTTTGTGGACAGATTCCACTTGCCATCTATTTTGATAAAAAAATTTTATTGGAACATTTGATAAAAAGCTTACTTACACTTTCCCAGTGGCTGTCTTTCCCTGCTACAAAAACAGAGTTGAGTAATTGTAACAGAGACCATCTGGGCTGCAGCAAGTCTTGAAATATTTACTGTTTGGCCTTTCTACACTAAACGATTGCTGACCTCCAGTTTAGTGCTTTACTCCAGATCCCAAGCTCTTGGGAATCACGCTATTTGCTAGTTGTCATTTGATGGCCCTTTGTTTATATTGCTTTCTGAGAAGTGTAGAAGAAGGATTTCACTTTATCTTCTCAGTTAAAGTGGATCTACCTGAAGAAGCCACACTATGTGTGATACAGTCACAGGGGTCCTCATGAGAAGCTGATCCTCACACCACACACACACACATGAGTTACACAACCAGTATGTGATGGATTGAGTTGGAGTGTTTCACCTACATAATCCAAAGAGAGAAACTTCTCTAGGACAGGCAGCCTCGAAGACCCCAGCAGGTTCCAGGTGCTTTCCCCTGAGCCTCACCAGAGAAATCCTTCTCCCTAAGCCCGAGTCAGTCTGTCTATCTCGACAGAAGACAACTCCACACTCCCACTGGCCTTATTTCAACTGGAGCCTGTCGCACCCCAAGTAAAAGCAATACCAATAGTACATTTGTGTCTAAAGGCACCTGCTAAGGCCCTTTCTTCTTGGTGATCTTGTCTTCTACAGACCACCATTAGCCCACTGGAAAATGCCATTGAAACCATGTCCACAGCCAATGAGAAGATACTGATGATGATAAACCAGTACCAGAATGATGAGAGTCTCCCCATCAACCCACTGTCCATGCTCCTTAATGGGATTGTAGACCCTGCTGTCATGGGTGGCTTTGCCAAGTATGAAAAGGTGAGTGCTTCTCTTCTCCAGGCTGCAGAAGAGAACTTGGAAAATAGCCCATTGGCCCCTCTTCTGACTGTATCACACCTGAGCAGGCTTGGCCAGAACAGAAATTTGGAGCATCTTGCCCTTGGGTATTATACAGCTGCGGCTGTGTTCTCTTTGTCCTACTGCGGCTTCCTAACACAGCTTATTTGGACCATCATGTATCTCCCAGAGTATTTTTTAGTGTCCCATCTTAACTGAGCTCCCAACTCCTTCCCACCCACATTCCCCACTCATGCAGGTGTAGAAGGGAGCCTCAGAGCCCCTTGGGAAGTTACAGGTGCTCTGTTAAGGAAGTGCTCTCTGACAACTGTAAACTGGACATTAAAAGCACAGAAACCACAAATCTAAGTATGTGACACTTGTGTAAATCGATCCTCTCCACAGAGGGTTTGAAGTAACACATACAAATGCAAACAAGTTAATTGCAGAATCTATCAAAGTGTAGAATGCCTCACAGATCAATGCTGAGGTGAGGTAGAAACTAGATCTCCAGGTTATAAGGTCTGCGGAGAAACCCTCACACATTTAAGGCACAGATTTTGTTTTTTGACCCTCTTGGTGTCAATGGCAAAAGGAGAAAATACCCATCAGTTGTAAAAGCCATATTGTCCACTGGAGGGAAAATACCAATTGTTCAATAAGAAAACTTTTTCTGGCATTGAAGTAGAATAGAGATTCCTTACATGGCTTTCACCTGGCAGACCCTAAAGAATGGATTCCTCATTCTAATAAGTTTCATAACAAGTTCTCCACTGTCTTTCTTATATCATCCATTCATAGCAAATGCAGAATACCCACAGTAGTGTAACTCTCATCATAATCCCCATCACCCCATGAGTACTTGTGGCTACCCTCAGACATCCCACATGGTCACCCTTTGCTCAGCTGCAAGGAATGATGTGATATGTCTTTGTATAAATGCAAACAAGAGTTGGGGAGCTGGCAGACAGATCACTTGCAGTGAAGGTGACTGTGAGACAAGCTTGAACATGCACCAGGTGAAATCTCTTTATTGAGTTTTTTTTAACCTCAGAGCAATGCTCTCCAATTTGAGATGCTTTGAAATGTCCTGCAGCCTTGTTCACAAAAGCCTCCATACCCATTCCCAGAATCTGATTCTATTGGTGTGGATTGGCTCCAGAGAAATTATACTTCTTATAAGTTTCCAGGGATGCTGTTGGACCAGGAACCACTTCAAAAATTACTTCCCTGGAGCTTGTAGTCCAATTCTAGCAAGTGCTGCTGGAAGTCCCCAGGGAAAGAGGCATTGTCAGGTCCTACAGGTCCTTGACCATCTAGCCATCCAAATACTGTAACTTCATCCCTGCTCTTCTCAAATAGAATCTTCTCCCAGTGCCTGAGACCCTGGGATCCACCCCAAATGAACAGGAAATTTCAAACCCCCATCTTGCCCACCTCCCACCCCACAGGCTTTCTTCACTGAAGAGTACACCAGGGACCACCTTGAGGACCAGGACAAGCTGAGCCAGCTCAAGGACCTGATTGCGTGGCAGGTAAAGTAGAACTGGACTGGGAAACATCTTGCCTTTTCTCTTTTTCTCCAGTTCACTGTCCCCCCCCACAGCTGACCTCTGGCTGGCCTGTCCTCCCACTCCTAGCCTGTGGGCCCCTCTCCTGACCGTATCCCACCTGAGCAGGCTTAGGCAGAACAGAGATTTGGGGCATCTCACCCTTGGGTGTTATACAGGTACCGGTCCACAGTGGTATGCTGGAGGTTGCTACACTTGCTTTATTTCATGTTAAACTCAAAGGTGTGGCTTTCCACAGCGGGACTCAAATGAAGTGGTGGGGGGCTACACTCGTACTCAGCTTGTGCCAACCAGATAACAGAAGACTTAGGCTTCAACTTGCACCCATTTTCCTTGTAAGGCTGACCCAGTTTGTTGCAGATGAGGCTGTGATGGATGCCAGGTTTTGCAAGTAATTGAAGCCTTTGTTTGGTTCTCCCCATCAAAGAACTACATCTGTCCAAGCTTTTCTTAGCTCTCTGTACCAAGCTTGAAGATTTGCCTGTTGTCTCCAGCTTTGTCCCTTCTCTCCATAAATCCTTCTCCCTCAGACTTTTCCTTTCCTCCTTTCTCTCTTCCTGTGAATCTTTCTCTCAGCAGCGCTTTGCTTCTATCCCTTCCCTGTCTTTTGCATCTCTCTGCTGCCCTCCCCTTAATATCCTATTCCTCTCTGCCTTCCCTTCCCTCTCCCTCTCTCCACAGAAGAAACAATCAAGTAAATCTGTCCTATAGGGGCTTTCAAAGGACCAGGCTCATCCTCCTGGTGCAGCCACCTCCTAGACATCTGCCAGGTCTGGGCTCTCTGCAGACCATGCAGCGCACTCTAGAGGTGACTTGGAGCAGTGTTTGTCTGGGCAAAGAGCATCAGCCCAAGGGCAGGGAGCAGGTTAAGGCTGTCTGTCCAACTCCTGCTCTTCCTCCTCCTCCCTCCTCCCTCCTCTTCCTCCTCCCTCTTTCTCCTTCCTGTCCTCAATCTTTGCCAATCACTGTGCAAAGAAAAGCAAGATTTGGTGGTAGGAAGTTTTTATTACTCTGGGGAAATCAGGGGATGAGAAGCATTGGGTGCAGCTTTTTTTTTTTTTTTTTTTTCTTAAAATAAGAATTCCTAATTCAGGTCCTTCTCTGCTTCTGCCAGTTTATGCAAAGTGGGCTTTAAAAATGAACCATGGAGCAATGCAGAGAAGCACTTTTTCTCGGGGTATTTTTTGTGTCTGGAATTTTCTCTCCTTTTTTTACTTTGTGCCACCAGTGAAAACAAACACACTTAGGGTCTCTCCCATCCCTCTTGGGGTCATCATACCTTTTGATATGCAGATGATGTCATTGTTCCTTCCTACTCTCAACTCAGAAAGCAGGAAGGCCAGATGATAAGTGGTCCTCTTCTTTGGATATTACTAGGACTTTGGTTTCACTGTTGGGTGTCTGTGTCAATCCAAAGTACTGCCTAGACCCTTCCATGGAGCCCCACTTCTCATTGTTATGGACTCTACATGCCATGACTACTGCGCCCAAATGATAATGTGTCTTGTACCATGGCTGATACAAGGATACGCCTTCTAAGAAAATTCTATCCAAGACTTGGCGCTAACTGAGGCTCCAAATGAGGGATAGATATTACTGCTTCTAAGGGCCCTTGTCTAGGCACCTTCAGATAGCACTCCTGTGGCTACCTTCTCCTTAGTGCTGCACATCACCTGAGGCCACTAGGTTACAGAGCCCGCTTCACCCCAATGGAGCATGCTCTTGCCTGTACCCCTCCTACTGGGCACTCAGGTGCCCTGACTATGGGCATGCACACTCGGAAGATGCTCCATGATTATGGTGAAAGTGCCCTTTTTTCATTATTATAGCAAATTAGCTCTTTCTCATCCTTTTTTTTTTTTTTCATTCTTACAACCCTTATTATTGAACCCCAACTGTGTTCCAGGCACAGTGCTTGGGAACAGAGATACAGTGGTGAACAATATTGGGGCTATTCTCTGACAACTAGAGTTTAACTCTAGATACTAATTCTTGCAAAGCTGTATACATTTTGGTTTTCCAAAACCATGAAATCTTAGATTTCAAAGGTGACCAAACCAACAAATGCTGTAGTTTCCGAAGTATATTTTGTTTTCCATATTTCACATACTTCATGATCAATAACTGCTTAGCTGTTCTATGTCGAAGCTTTCTATTTTTTGTCATGGAAAGATGTCCACAGCATAGTCATCTTGTAAACTTTTTGTTATGATATTTTACGCACTGATAGATGCACATAAAATTATACAGCTCATTGATTTCATGCCAATGTAACCACCACATAGATGAAGATACAGAATTCTCCTGACACTCCTCATCCTACCTGTGCTCCCCTGAAACATTGCCATCCCTTCCAGGACTGACTTTCCTGCTTTTACAATAATCATTTACTCTTAAAAAAAAATGTTTAACTACTGAAGCATTCATTCCTAAACACCATAGTTTACTTTTGATTATTTTTGACCTACAAATTTAATGGAATCAGTGTAGTCATTTGTATCAATGTCATATTTGTGAAATTCATTCATTTTGTTGCTCATAGCTTACCATTTATTCATTTTTGTTGCCCTTCTGTAATGTGAACAAGTGGATTGTATAATAGTGACAAAATGTATTGTTTTTTTGCATGATGGAGAATGATGTTGATTCTATAGACAAAAAATGCCCATCAACTGAGGAATGGATATAAAGATGTGGTATATTTATATAATGGAGTACTTCTCAGCTATAAAGAAAGATAAACTTGAGGCTTTTATAGGTAAATGGATGCAATTAGAGACCAGACTCATAAGTGAAATAAATCAGACCCACATGTGTGAACATGGGATCGTCTCCCTAGTGTAAGAACCTGAATGAGTAAATAAAATCCAAAAGGTACAATGGATATTGTGAAAGGGAAAGAAACTGCTCAAAAACAAAGGACAGCTGGGATTAGGGAAAGGAAGAAAGGAAAGGAGGAGGGCACACATGCACACACGTAGGACAGCTAAGATAATTGTCCTACTCATTTCCATTGGTTTATTAAAAGGAATAGCTAAGTGCTTAATTTTTTGACCAATTTTGCATGCTCATATCTAGTAATCTTAACAACCACTTTGAAGACAACAATATGCAGTACAACAACCATTGGTGAATTCTTATCTTGCTTTTTGAAATTCTGCATTGTTTCTAATTTTTTGATTATTTTTCATTCTCTTTAAAATAAAAAGCATGCTGTTCATTTCAGTCTGAGGCCATTGCAAATAATGCCATTTTGAACATCTTTGTTAATGTCACTTTAGGGCTCATAGGCATAGTTTCTTTGGGGCATAATCGTGGGCCTGGAATTGCTTTGGTCATGGTGTAGGAGAATATTTAGCTTTCGTAGATATTGCCAAATATCTACCAGCATGTTAGTTTTGCCTACCCTTCAACTTCATATAAACGGCTTCATACAGTATATTCCATTTTGCACGTGGCTTTTGTCCAACATAATTTTTCGAGAGTCATCTGGCTTATTGCACATATTAGAGGTTTGGGATTTTTTGTTTCTAAGTATTATCCTTTATATGAATTTTTTTTTCCAGAACCGGGGATTGAACTCAGACCCCTGCGCTTGCCAGGGAAGCGCTTACTCCACTGAGCCATCTCCCCATCCCCTATATGAATATTATTTACACTCAAATAATATACCCTTTATTAATCCTTTCTTCTTTTGGTGGACATTTAGTTATTTTCAAGCTCTGTATGTTATGAGCAGAATTGCTATGAACATTCTTGCTTGTGCCTTCTGGTGGCCAGAAGTACTCCATTCCCTCAGTGTAGACGTAGCAGAGGCTCGTGAATGCCTTCCTGGATACAGATCCAGTTTAAGTGTTGGATAGTTACTCTTATGTGAGAAACACACACACACACACACACACACACACACACAGAAGATAGATCAACAGACGGATGGATGGACACAAATAAAGGGCAAAACAGAAGAGAGAGAAATAGGAAGTAGGGAGAAGTTCAAATACTTCACCAAATTATGTATTCCATTGTTTCAAAACCACTTTAATATCTATGCTAATTTGTTTCATTTACACTACTAGTGTTTCTCAGTTCATTGAAAAGAAAGTTTTGTGTTATGTTTGCTTCTTTGCAAGACAATTTTTGGTCTGTACCTTGTACTCTGAGTAACTACTTTAAAGATAATGATACGCAGGGTATTAACTAATATTATCCTATTACTTTATCAATTTTTTCATGAACCAGTAAAAGGTTTCCAAAGTGGCTAAGACAATGTACACTCCTGCCGACTCCTGCTAAGAGTCTGAATTGTTCTACAGTTAATTTCAGTCCTTATGGTGAATGTGTATATGTCATTTTAGAATTTTATTTGCATTTTCTCTATAGACAGTGGTATTCAGCACTCTCTCTTATACTTATTGGCTAGTTGGCTCTTTCAAGAAGTGCTTTTTCAATTGTTTATATATTTTGTCTTTTAGGAATATATATATATTTTTTCTTGGCATAATCCTTTTCTCAAATGTATCAATTATAGGTATTCTTTCAGCCTGCAATTTATTAGAATATTTTCTTGGTATTGTATTTGATAAACAGAAGTTTGTGATTTTGTTAAGGCCTAGTTTACCACTTTTTAAATGATTAGTGATTTGGGGGCCACTTTAAGAAATCTGTTACCTCAAGTTGATGAAACGTATTCAGGATGTTTTTGAAGCTGAATTGTTGCATCATACACTTTGAGGTAAATGACCTATTTTGACTAACATTAAGTAACAGAGATTACTTTTCCAAGCAGATTTCCAACTGCTCTACCACTATTTCTTGAAAAACCTATTTTCTTCACTCTTGACCATATCTGTGTTGATCTGTTTCTTGGCTTTTTTTTTCTATTGGTTTATTTTTCATGCATGGACCAAAGCTGCACTATTTTAATTACTGTAGCTTTATAACAAGTCATGAGATCTAGTAATGAG